CAGGCTGTTCTAAAAATAAATAAAACTCAGAACTGTACACACACACACATCTCCCCCCAGACTGCTTTCCTGGAGCAAAATCCACTGCATCATAAAGACAACTGTGTCAGGTATCACCAAAATTCTTCTATCACTGAAAAAAACTTCTAAGAAGGGCTTCTGTGCCTTACCACTCTCTCCCTTACAAATGGCAGCTGGTGTAACAAAAGATACTATGCATCCTGTTGATCTCTCCTGAAAGAGAAGTGTTTGGGATACACAGAAATTTTTTTCAAGATATGCTCCTGGCAAAAAGGCTCAATGAAAACTGACAGTAATCTCAGAAACACCTTTTAGAAATTCAGTCTGAAAGCACCAGTGCCCAAAGTGAAAGTAGATATGGCAAAATCTACCTCAGTGTGCTGAAGCAACCTCAGACTGCTGCCTACCATCTTTGAGATTTCACAGTCGTCAAAGGAGGGTCTAGAAGAACCTCAGGGTTTCTCTGCCAAACCCAGAGAACATAACTGGGGCCAATCCTGTATCTAACACTGTCCAGTACTTAAGTAGTTCAGATGATACAAAGAAAACTTCTATTAAATTTGCAACTTATACAAAGCCTGAAAAAAGCGTAGCATGGTAGAGGACAGGATTAGAATACAAAATTATCTGGACAAATTGGAAAACCGCTTGGAAGTAAGTAAGAAATATTTCACTAAAGACAAGTGGAAAGTCATATAGCCAGTGGGAATAATTGACTGCAGAAATACAAGATTAGAATTAACTGTGTGTATTGCAGTTCTGCAGAAAACCAATAAGATAATACATCACAAACTGTAGACAGTATCAGTGTTACAAACATAAGCAAACTTAATAATGGGATGTAAAACAAGGAGCAAAATATCTAAGGTGCATGAAAGATATCTAGTTTGTTTGGGTGTAAAACAACAGAAAGTTAGATCAATTGGATTGCAAAGGAAAAGAGAGTTGGAAGATACAATTCCAATATCAGAAAGTTGGAAGATTAAATTTATCAGGGTAGTTGGGTTTACTCAGTCAAGAGACTAAAGGAAGATGCATACATAGTTGCTAAATATGTAAAAAGTTGTTACTAACTCTAAGGAAACATGCATTCTGTGTATTACCTCTGGATAGGTAAGTATTGAACTGAAGAATTCAGGAACAGAGATTTAAGTTAGATATTAGTAAAAGAAAAAAAAAATAAATCTAACAATAGGTTTGAGCAAGCACGAACATAGATATATGAGACCTGCCATCAGAAATTTAAGATTATGTTATATGAAGGCAGTGAATCCCAAACTTTTTTAGCCAGAGGACCACTGCAATCACATCTCAAATCTTGCTGATAACTACTGAAACTGAAAAGGCAAGTTAGTATATATTGCTAGCACACCACTGCACATTTGGTTAGAAAAACATCTGCAAGGAATGGTTTTGTTAGACATGGATCCTGTCTGGCACAAGGGGATACACTAGGTAAGTATTTCTCTTTTAAATTTAAAGACCACCTGGCATATTAAAAATGAACCCATGAATCACTATTTCCTGATGTTCTCCAGGGGAGATGGAAAAAATATAAAGTAGTAGCTGCTGCTCATCATTTCTTAAAACAGCAGAAATAGATTTTAAAAAAACCTAATCTCAAACATTAAAATATTGGTAAGATTAATGAATATGACTCATAACCGAAGTATTGCTGTTTGGATATTTTAGAGTTATTTCAGGAATTTCTTATAGTTTCAATATGTTAAGATAAGAAATATGAAAAACAATCGCATAAATTACTCATCTTTGCCTATCACTGACATTTTTCTAGTAAGCTCTTTTCTCAATAGTTATTTCTGTTAAAAAAATACATTAGCACTTAGCCTGAAGGATCCAACAGAAGGACCATTTTAATTATGTCTTTTTATAAAAGTTTTTATTAACAATCTGCTAAGAATAAGAATTTCCCATTTGTCACTGGCACTATGTCAAATTTGCTTAGTTTTCAAATAGGCAAATCAAGCGATATTCTTTTAGCCTACAGATCATTCCCCTGAACAATGAGTGCAACAACTATTAGGCTTGGTGATTTAAGCTCTGAGAATAGTAAGAAGCAGCACTGGATACTTCACACCCCAGAAAAATCACATTAAAATATTTTGTAATTGAAAGTTAGGAAATAATTCCTTTGATTATTTCCACTTCATTAATTAAACCCATTCCATTTTATCCCTACTTGACATAAACTTACCGACCTCTTAGTCTTCCAAGTCATAACTCAAATGTGGAAGAATGGGAATTAGTAGGCAAGCACTATTGTGGGAGCCTGTCACCAGAAACATTTTAAGGCAAGCAGCTAGGGCAGTAGCTTAGCAGCATCCTATACTCAGGTAGCACTGCACGTCATCTAAGGTGCGTGGAGGGAAGGAGGGGAGGTCAACACCTTAAAATGACCTAGACAGAGCTTTATACCAGCTCATTTGGTAGCAAATCTAATTATACGTTCTGTTTAACTATCTGGCCCGAATTCATAAAAGCATTCGGAGCCAAGGCTCCAAACTTACTAAGAGAGAAACAGAGTTTGTGCACAGATGAGACAGGTCCCCCCATCTCCTTGACAATAGGGCGCACAGTCACTGGGACACAAATACCAAACACTCCTACATTAGTTGTGGGGAGAAGGAGGAAAGATGGACAGTGTCTCATTCTAGGAGAAAACAGAGTGTATGCAGAGGAGGACGTGAAATTAAAAAAGCACTTAAGCCTATATTAAATGTAGTCGAAGCAATTAGAATTCTCAGCTCATACAGACACTCTTGTAAGAAAACCAACTGAATTTTTTTCCTCACTGAGCACCTTTCTGCTGAAAGAGAACAAACACAGCTCTTAGAATAATCACAGCAGGAAGCAACACGTTCTAAACACCAAACTGTAAACTTTTTTTTTTCCCCTTCATCTCTCTGCTTCACTGAATGTAACAGCATCCACTGAAAAGATTCCAACCCCAAACCTATACAGTGCTAATTTTTATTTGGATAAGCTATCACTGACTTCACTCACTCAAAAATGTCAGATTAATGAATATGCTTGCTCAGCACTCTCTGGTCAATCTACAGTGACCCAAGTTCACAGAAATATGGCATATTTCCACTGAAATAAGATCAGTGGTACCTGCTTATACTTATTTAATAGCTGGAATCATCTTAGCAAAGCCAGAAAGAGTCTGAAGAAAAATGTCACCAAAATACTGCCATACAAGAACTAAGCACTACTAGAAATTAAGGAACACTACTACCAGAATTATTAAAATTCCTGAAAACTGAAATCAGCAACAGTTCCAGTCAACTCTTTCTACAGTGTATTTTAAACTTAAATATTTGCACTTCTTACTTTCTCCTGCTAATACTTCAACACTTAGTGCAAGAAGGCAATCGGGTGTTTCACTGCCAAAAGGTACCATTCTTACACAACAGAAAAGACAGACTTAGAAATGAAAGGGCCTCCATACCAAATAAACAGAAGTAATGGAAAACAAGTAAGTTTGCTTTTTTCCTCCTCGTGTCATATAAACAGTACATTCCATTCCATAATCTGGGTTGGGCTGCTTTCCCATCTCTTCTCTTGCTACAGGCTTAGGTGAAAAGCTTTTGAGACACATTTCCCAAATACATGAGTTTCATATTAAAACAGGAAGCCATTTGTAATATTTCTTTAGGTATCCCATAAATTCCGGCCTCAACTGTAACTGACTTACCTTTTCTGCAATCTGAAAATACTAGGCTTTTTAATGAAGAGAGGCAAGAAAATGAACACCTACTAAGGGACCTGAATTCCAAGCAGCCTCACAGAACCCTTACAAGACTATTTCATTTTTGTGTCTGGAAAGGTGGCATGTAACCCATGAAAGATGGACACACGTAATGAAAAATGAAATTGCTACAAAAAAATAAAGAAAAATGGAAACTGGCTAGAAAGTTGCCCACAATTTAAAAAAGAAAGAAAGAAAAAAAGACACTGGGAAAGACAAGAGATATTATTCAAACTAATTCCCAATAAAGAACGTGGAACAGACACATCTGGTTAAGAAGGTCTAAATCAATATTTTGCTCTTCTATCTCACTACTCTTCCAGCAGTTTTTGAGAAAAAGTATCTATTAATGTGTTTGCCAAGTAATGTAGATACAGAATTAAAGTGGCCATGCTAAAAAACCCCCACTTCCTCTTACCCACAGCACAAAGAGAACAGTGATGATGGTACAGTGCTATTCTACACACAAAACAGTTTAATTCTTTCTTATACAGTGTCTTTTGAAAGTGGACATAAATTTGAAAGGATATCAGATTTCACCTTACAATTTTTTTCATTTACTCACAAACTAGATATTCTTAATTTGAAGAGAATAAAACATTGGAATTTAAATAATGCATCCATTTTACTCTAGCAATACAAGGCATGGATTGGGACAAATCTCAAACCAGAAAAAAAATAATAATTTATCACTTTATAAACTGTATGCCTGTTTCTATTCACTACCTTGGAACCAAGTCCATAATAATATTTTTCTAAACTTCATATGAAAACAGTGAGCTAAAGCTAAAAATTCTTAGAAGAACAGTAACTTTTGCCCAGAGTTTTCTCCCTCTTTTTTAGCTGATATGGACACCTTGTTTCAGTTGTTCTGAACAAAGTGGAAAACATAAGGAGCTTACTAGCTCAGTCTTTTTTAAAAAAAATAATAATAAAAAAAAAATCTGACAGGTCTCTAAGAACTGCAGGAACTTTCCTTGACAAGAAGAGAGAGAATGTCAATACTAGCAGAAAACCCCATTAAATTATCTGTACCAAGGGGACATTAAAGAAGAGATTAATTGAAAGAAGATGGGAAAGAGAAGTCAGTGAGAAAAATCAATAATGAATTGACTATACAATCATCAATAAGAAAACTGTATTATTTGAAGGATTTGGAATTTACTTCATTGTCTGTAGATATTTTCCTGGGTTTTTTTCTACTTACCTAGACCTTTTTGTCCTGGGTTTTTAGCAAAGTTAAAAGTGAACTGATAAAAATCTTTGAACTTTGTTGGATCCTTTAGCTCTTGTTCCAGTCTTGGCAATAGAGCTTTCAGTTTTTCTGTGGTGTCACACCTGTTCAAAAGAAGTTATATTATTTGTAGAAATTTAAGATCTTTTTACCTTTTTTTTTTTTTTTCCCCTCCTCCTCTTTCATTTTTTAAGGTTTAATTTCAGAGCAAAGTAAAACAGTAGTTAAGAAAAAAATAGAGTATTTTTCTGGATAGCATTCTTAAAAATATAAACACTCATATGTCTTCACTAAACGACTTTAAGTGGATCATTATATATAGGCATCCATTAAGTATACAACCCAAACAGGATTCAGTGGTTTTTTTTCCTCAGTCTCTTCATGAGTTTATAAACAGAAGCAATCCGTGTTATTCTGTTCTTAAAGAACAAATAAATCTCACTGCAATCTGGCATCTTTTCCCCTTTTACAGCTGTTGCAACACAAGGGTGTGGGCTTTTGCTTTAATTTAGACAGACATTACTTATTCCTTGCTCTACCTAAATAAGAGCTGCATACTACATTTACAGTTAACCTTAACATTAGAGGACTTTGCAACAAAATGAACTATGATTTGCAGTCATCCTCTCTCCACCATGGAACACTCGCAGATAAAACCTAGGAAAAAAAAATGAGCCTTTGACAATAGCTTGAAGGCTGACAAACCGTTTAAGAGCCTGGCACAGGTAGGGTAAGATAAAATCATATTTCTGAGATTCTAATAGAAACATCTCCCTTAACACAAGATGAGCATTTTCAGTAAAAGCGCCTGAGCTGACAAGATGCAATTTTGAAAGAAAAAGGGTTTCCCTTATGCCAAGGAATCAAATGAATAGTCAAGGTTTATAGGATATTACCAGTATTTTGAATTGTACTTAGAAACTCAAAGCAAAGGACATAGGTTTTAAAGAAGCAGCTATCATAACTAACATCTTGCATTTGAAAATTCTCAGTAGTTAAATGTGTATTTACTTTAAAAGTTCAAGAATAAATTTATTAAAGGATGGATAAATAATATATTTAAATCCATAAGATGCAGATGCAGTTGTAACTGTCTTGCATGGTACAGCTAAAAATAAGTACCCTCCTGGCCTCCAGCAGTACCTGGTAGAGAAAAGATAAAGAATTCTGCCAACAGTCTTCAACCGAGAACTTCAGTTTCATGGGGACTTGATCTAGTTAACAATAGGGATGAATATCATACCTTCCCATACGTATCCCAAAGGTGCTATATGAACTAAGCCTCAAGGAACTTCTTTTAAATAAAATCTTCATTTATGTTCAGTGCTGAAAACCACAGACACTGCACTTCCAAGTATGTAACAAAATCATTCCAAATTCTCAATAAGCACTATACCAGTGGCAAGCAGGTATGATCAGATTATATTCCCAAGAACACAATAATGTGTGTTGAGCAAAAAGAGATAAAAATCACAGACCTCTGTGGAACTGTATCAGAGAGTCATGAGGACATAGGAGCAATGTGACAATGAAGTTACAAAAACCAAGCCAGAAGCCACAGGTGGTTTAGCAAAACCTTTTTAATCAGTTATATCAAATAATGCTGGCAGCCGTTAATATAAGAGCATGAGCACTTGACTGCTGTCTGTGGCTAGAAAAATCATAATTATTCTTATAGTCTCTACCCAGAGGAACAAAATAAAGCAGTTCACTTCAGATATCAAAAGTTATTTCATCACAATTTCTGAATACCCTTACCGAAAAAGGAAAGCTTAGAAAGAAGTCAGTAACTGATGAGGTTGGTAACAACAGGCTGCTAGGACCCCTGCTCAAGAAACAACCACCACATTTGTAAGAAGTTGGTCTACTGTAGAAAGGTATTGATAAGGTGTCATCCTAAGATCAAATGAAATTATTTAGCTACAAAAAATATGCACAACCAATAAACTGTAATTCTCCACCTATCTAAAGTAATTTGTGGGTTTTTTTTTTGTTTTGTTTTTTTTTTTTTTTAAAAAATAAATCATTTTGACACCTCTATATATTAGAAATACTGCATCTCTTCCAAGGAAAAGTTATATACAAATTATTATTTTATGGTGATAAACGCTTGGCTTTATTGCTAAACAGATGTAATGTGGTTTAAGATCAAAGCCTATTATCCAGAACAGCTCCATAATCCAGGAAGGAAAGAAAAATTTCATCAGTTACATCAGTGTCACACTAAACAACCTCTTCTACTACCAATACCCTAATTTTTATTTCAATTTCTTACAGATATTCTGTACAAATTAAGTATCCAGTATGTAAGACAATAAGAGAAACTAAGAGAAACCTATGGTCTGTAAAACTGGTAAAAAAAAAAGTTACTTTATCACCACCAAATGCAAAGGGAAAGAATTGAATGTTCTTTTCTGCTTTCCTGTTCCGTTTCTGCTTCAACACTGACTGAACTTTTTTTTTTTTTCCTTCACACATCTCCAACGACTTCCAACTTTTAACAGCACAGGGTCCACTCAAAACCTTAAAACAACCATGCATATATTTGTATGAATTAGATCAAAATATCAGAATATCTGTTTTCCTTGCACAGATAAAAATTATTTTGCTTTGTCCTTAATGTGGTCATTGTTAAGGCTTTGCAGTAAAGTACCAATTTAAGGAAGACGGGACACTACAGGCATGTAGCACCTGTTAAGCTTGGCACCAGCCTTACCAGCTTTTTGAAGCTTCACACTTAATTCACTTAAACATGTTTTAAACATAAACTGTGCTCAGGCCTTACATTTTGAACTATGCAGAAACAGATACTTACCCCAACTCTGTCATGCCATCAACAAATTCCTTTTTACTGAATTCACATTGAGTAGCTGCCCTGAACTTCCATGCTACAACCAGAACACTGATACTGGCTGGGTCCAGGCTTAGATCATCACAGAACTGTTGGATCCCATCAATGCCAATTTTATTTTCATCTTGTGGGTCTGCAGTTCAAAATACAGAAAGGAAAACTGTAATTATTTACAAAAAATATTTACAAATAATCATCTGCACAGCTTTGATATGCTGCATAACACAGGTCTTCATTTTTTCATAAGCATCACGAATATTTTCCCTTGAAATCTAGTTAATTTTAGAAGTACCTTGAAGAGTATTTGTAAATAGATTAGAATTATTTTGCAAACTTCCCTAGAAATTTGTTTACAACTTTTTCCTAAATTCATCAGCTAATGTCAATGAAATAGTTTTGTCTTCTCTCCATAATGCTCTGTGAAGTATCTGAATTAACTGAGGAGATGCTGGCTACATCTAAAAATAGTAAGGCTGATAAACACATCAAAACGTACAATATATCTATTGGTTAGCATGTATTAAACTTTAAAAGAAACCCAAACCAAAATAAAAAACCCCACAACAAAACCACACCTATCAATTGAGCCCACCCATTTTTTTTCCTGATGGGGATATATGATAATCCACTATAACTATTTAAAGACCCTAATTAACTCAAACATTTTTGCTTTTTAATTATAACTTAGGGAAATCACCAAAATAATTGCTCAAGCAATGCCTATCATAAGGGTCTTAAGCTAAACAATACAATTTAAGAAATACTTTATTTCAGTAGTACCAAGTTTAATACCTTTTCGAATGTCAGAACCTCACTTTGTAACTACCTACATTAGGACAGATGTAGCTAACAAAATTCTCTCTCAAAAAGACCCTAAAAACCAACCAAACAACAGAAAAAAAAATCCAAACCCAAACACCTAAACAAAATCAAAGTCCCCTGCACATATACCTAAATAACTGGGGGGGGGGGGGGGGGGGGGGGGGGGGCTGGGGGAAAAAAAAAAAACAAAACAAAACACAAACAATAAAAACCAAAGAGCATCCCTCCCCATTCTCCTTCCCCCCAAACCACCACCTTTATTTTTCAAAGCTTGACAGTTCACTGTTTTTCCCAGCTCTTGATAGGAAGACATTTCACTATTGTACGTTGGGCTGTGTAGAAGAATATCCTTCCAGTAAATTTAAGACTAACTCCTTAAACTGTTAAGATTTTCAACCATGCTATTAGGACCTTATCCAATGAGTTGATAAAAAAAAAAAAAAAAAATCATCAAGTCTAAAGAAAACTTTCTTTTTTTATTATTTTTTGAGGTGTTAAGCTAAGATTCCTTCCACTTTTCCAGCCAATACAACAGTGGAAGAAATGCTAAAATGCAGAGTGCAGAGAGGAAATTAATTTAGCAAAGTATTGTACCTATCAAACAAAGAATTACACCCATGGTATAAACCCAGGGACCTTTGAGCAGGAAAAAGTAGTAAACGTATCTTTCTATTATACGCCAGATCTAGTTCTAAGACATATAAAATGCATTATTTCCTGTACATTTGGGGAGCAATTGAAGGACCAAAGGTGAAAAGTGCACTAAGTGTTGAAATCAGTGGAAAAATGGATTTCAGCAAGGGCTGTTTCATCCTTATCACATTACACATCATCCAGGTAACTAGGAACAAAAACAAAATTGTTTTGACAGAGTTGCTGGATAAACAGATAAAACTAGCAAAAAGACAGCACAGACAATGAAAGACCTCTCGTCTCAGATTTCAAATATAGCGCAACGTGTGTAGTATTCTATAGGCCCTGCAGGACAAAGGAATTCCTTGTTGTTGCGAGGCCAATGATTCAGGTTTAAGCTACATATGAAAAAAAGAAAGGTGCTTAACCAAAACTGTCATTGTTTTCTCTCAGATCTTGTGAAGGTTTTGTTCAAGTTTAGTTGTTAATGTGCTAGAACTGCAAAGGTGTGCCGCTAACCAAAACGGGGACATAAAACTTACCAGACTTTCACCAAAACCAAGTGGTTCAGTTTGCCACTGCTAGAAAATGATGAATAATAAATAACATCTGTCATTTTTTTTAAAATCTTAAGATATTCTTAGTAGCATTTATGAATTTGTGCATATTTTTGATCCAGCAGTCTCCAAGACTGACATGCAAGGGGCAAGCAAATGATTTAGATATGTATATATGTGTTATATATTTATATATGTATAACAAATCAAGTAAGTGGTTCTCTAGCATTTTTTTTTGTTTTGTTTTTTCTTTTCCCACAAAGGAAATGCTATAGTGTTGCTGGTTCTTTGTCCCTACACAATTCATTGCCACATAATAATGAAATATTAAAGAATGCCTATACTTAAATAGAACACATTATGTAAAGAGTAACAAAAAAAGGTGGAAACAGTATCCTAAGAACAGGATGGAGTGTACACAAAGCATGCCATTTACTGCAATTAGAAGAGTACATAAAATCATAGTTGAGTAATAGTTAAGAGTTCATTTTTTAAAACACGAGACGTACGGATCACAGCAGCGGCCGGTAACGAATCCAGCCTGCTCGGCTCTAACACGCAACGAGCAACGTAGACATTCCTATCTTAGGGCCACACTTCAGAAAGCACTGTTACCTGGATCACGTACTTATATTTACACGACTATCTTTTTCCTTTTATTGTTTCTGTTATTTTTAACAATGCCATAAAATAAAAATAAATGGAGAAGAAACAACTCTATCTTTAATCCACTTTCATGTGGTTTTCCCTTCAAGCCTCTCTGAACAGGCACATCACTTTTGCTGTAACATGCCAGCACAAAGAATAAAATAAGGATGGAGTTTCTATGACTAGTTTTTGAGTTTTCTTATTTGACTGTTTTGTCAGATTCCTAGTTGTAATGTTATATGAAACATTTTTTTATTTTACTGTATAGAAATACTGCTATCTTTGAACAAAATTAAATCCCAAAATATTAGTAGAAAAATAATATGTATTACTTTGCCACACAAAGTACATTGTACATATACTTAATAGCAGCCACTGGCGATAAATCAAATAAGTTGCATAATAAGCTTTACTCTCCTTTCCACCATATGCAGTAGACACTATTTCCTCATGAGAGGTTTAATTTCCTATGGTGAATTTACTTTAAATGCTACTGGAAGATCTACAGAAGTTGTGTACTGAACATTAAGAGCATTTAAAACCTTCTTCATTCTTATCTCACTACCGCAAACACAGAGTGAGAAGCAAAAAGCTAGCAATCTTCCCTTAAAAGTCCTTAAGAATGGCAGAGGCAAAAGCAGAAATACCACCCAAACAAAATAATTAGGAAAAAACCAAAACCCACCACAACAACAACAAAAAGCGCCTTACCTTTGTATCGATTATACAATTGTTCTAATTTCTTCCTGTCTACTGAATTTTTCATGGATTCTTTGTAGTACAAGTCTGGATTCTGGAAGTAGTTGTCTGTTGCCACTTCTAGTTTCCACTCATTCTGCATTAAGCAGTATATAGCAGTCCTTTCACCAGCCTGGGTAAATGCCATAAACTGGCGGACCTTGTCCTTCTGAGACGATTTAAGCTTATGCTTTGGGATGCAAAAGAAGCAGGAAAGCCAATGAAGCTAATCCAGAAGTTTGTTTCAGCATTCTACTACTAACGCCTATCTTTAAAAGGTTTTAGTTTTCTTGTTGATGACAACTTTCACTTCAGAATTACAGGAAGACAAAGCCTTGTTCTTCTGCAGTTAAAAAGACAGCATTTTCTTCTGAAAATTGAAATGACAGCATCTATATATAAATTTTTAGCAGCACACATTCTGGCAGTGATAAATCTGTATTTCTGCTTTATTGCTCATATATGCAGAAGTTTTTCTGCTCTGTAACAGCAGTAAACACAAGTTTCATCATATAACAACAGGGTTATCTGCCGATAGGGGTTACACAAACAAGAAATTACAAAGGCACAACTTTAAGATTCTCACATTCTGTACAAGTCCTTGATACACGTAGAAAAACTGTCCACCAGTTTTCCTAATGTTTTCCTAGCAACAACAAACCATGTAAAATTTAATCATTTTAAGTGATCAGCTGAAAAAGGCAGAAGCATTTCTCACATTTTTATGTTAGAAACCATTGCCAACAGAAGACCTCAGACAAAAAGAAAATAGAAAAAGCAGACAGGTCAGAGATTTGCTGAATGTTACAATGAGACTATAAGTTGCTGTAAATGTGATCTAAAACTTTAACTCTGAAAAAGATGTTTATACTATTAATACGCTAAACAACAAAACTGCCCATTATAGTGGTATACAGGAACTAATAAGATACTGCTCTTTATGGCAGCTAATTGCAACCATATCGACACGACATCCCCAAACTTCTGGAAAACTCAAGAGGTGGGAACAGGGATTTTATAGGGAGCAAGTTTGCTGTTAACACAGCTTCTTTACATGAAGTTGGAAGAAGGAAGAGATAGCTTAAATCAAGCTCTAATTTCTATTAAATACTGATACTTTCCAATTTTGTTAGAGCATACTTAATAGATGTTCTGAGCCAGCAATTAAACTGAGAAATTTGTCTAAATTCCTCACTATTGCTTAAATCATCAGGTATAATAGAAAATCTACTGATCTCTTAAGTATCAGGGGGAAAACTGAATCCTTATTCAGTGAGCAGTAAACATAGGACCATCTTTCAGTTTACTTGTTATCTCTTGTACACATACGGATGGTGACATCTTGCCTGCAGATGGTCCCGAGACAAGAAACACATCACGTAAACAAGATAAGGACTTTGGTCTTTCCTACTAGATTTTACAATTTTATACAAGAAGAGAGATGTACAGTTTCTTTTTACGCAAGAAGAAACACGTAAAGTGGGAAAAGAGCTGCAAAAATAACTACAGTGTATTTTGGAAGGAAAGTACTCAGTAATTCTTTGACTGCAAGCTCTGTGTAACTGCTTCCCCCTCCATTTTCATTAAAGTCTAATTATGAGAGTCTCTCTGCACTAAGATCTTCCTCAGTTACATAAACTCCTTCCGAGCAACAAGCTTTGTGATGATCATTTCAAACCAGAGGTCTCTGACAATTCCAAAGCAAAGCCCTCGTCCTCTCACAAATCTACTTAACGCCAGGCGTTTGGGGATGTTTTCTAGGTTCAAAATGAAACACCGAGTCAGCTGAAGAAACCAGAGATACGAAACGCATTCGACTACTCTGCCACGTAGTAGAGCTTCCCCTGCCCACTCGTGTCTGAGGCCCTGCGGTACCCACGCACTCTCCGCAGGGCGGGGGGGGGGGGGGGAAGGTTTGGGAGCCGCGTTTCCAAGCGTGCCTTTCGCACCAAGGGCACCCGAACACGGCGCGGTACCTCGCACCCCGACACAACTCAGTGACTTTCGGGGATGCCCTCTCAGAGCGGCCGTCGCACCGTTTACCGCAGATCCTCTGGCAGCGCCGAAGCTCAAACAGCCCGCAGGCTGCGGCGGTGGCACCGGGCGAGCCCTGCCCCACGCCAGCCCCGCTCGCTGCCGACCCCCCCCCCCCCCCGGGAGAGGGAATTTGTACCGATTTGTAACCGCAGCTTCCCCGCCGCCCCGGCACCCGCCGCTGCACCTGCCGCGTCCCGGGGCGGGGAGCGCCCGGCCGGAGGGGCCGCGCCCGGGATCGGAAGGCGGAGCGGCGGGAGCGAGGGGCACCGGGCTCCGGCAACCTGCCCCGTCAGCCCAAAGCCCAAAAAAGGGAAAGGTACGCGCCGCGCCGCCCGCTCGAAATACCCGCGGCGGCAGCGGCCGCCCCGCCCGGCCCCCTCCCCTCCCCCGCCCGCCCCCGGTGACCTTCCCCGCTCCCGGTGGAGGATGTTGGGGGGGGGGGGGGGGCGGGAAGGCGAATCCCCACGGTGCGAATCCCCCCGCGCCGCTCATCCCCCCTCACCCCCGCGGACCCCCCCCCCCCCGCCTGGCGCCGTCCCCCCCCCCGGGCAGGCAGGGGAGCTGGACCCGGCGCTGAGGGAGAGAAACGGCGGGAAACCGGGGGGTGGGGGGGGCACTCGGCTCGCTGGCCCGGGGGTTGTTTGGGGGTCATTCACCCCCATTTCCCTACCCCCCCTTTCCCCCCCCTCCCCACTCGGCTCCAACAACCTACCATTTTATTCACCGGCGCTTTGACCAACTTCACCGCCCGGCGCCGCCTCCCGCGCAGGCGCACACCGCGCCCGCCCTCGCCGCCTATCGCCGGCCGCGCTGCTGGGCGGCGGGGGGGGGGGGGGGTTGGGGGAAACGGACGGTCGGACAGACGGACACACGACACCAGGCGCGAAGGCGGAGCGCGGGATCGAGGTGCGCGCCCGCCCGCCCACGGGGAGCGGCGACTGCGCCTCCCGGTGCTGGGCCCGGTGTGGGCCCTGCCCCGCCCGGCATGGCGGGGGGGTGGTGTGTCTGTGTGTGAGGGGGGAGAATCCGGTACCGCGCCGCGAGGAGGCGGCGCTGGGACTACAGGTCCCGTCTGACTGTGCGCTTAAAGGTGCCGCACCGGCGCTCGGTAACCGGCGGGGGGGCGGGGGGGGCGGCCGTTGCCAAGGACGGGACTCCTCGGTGCTTTCCCTCAGCGGCCATCACCCCCTGTGCCCGCCGCGCTGCGATCCTGACCTTTCCCGCTGGCCGCTGCCGGCCCTTCTCCCTCCCTCCCTCCCTCCCTCAGGTGAGCGGCGCGGAGGGAGGAAGCGGCGCCCGGGGCTGGCGGCTGCCTCCATCTCCTTCCCCTCAGCGGTCGGGCCAGCCGCCGCCCTGAGGTGGACGCTGGGCGGTTGCCGGCGGGTTTGTGTGGCGGGGGGGGGGGGGGAGCTGCGAGGAGGAGGCGGGTTTGGTTTTACTGCCGCGGGGCCGGGAAGTTGAGAGCCGCTGCCGGGAGCGCCGGCCGGGCCGCGGGGCGGCCGCCTCCTTCCTTCCCTCCCTCCCTCCCTCCGCCGCCATGAGGGCGGGCGGGAAGGGGGCTGGCAGCACCCGCGCTCTCCTGATCTCTGTCTCTCTCCCTTCTCTCCCCGTTTTCACCCCGCCTCGGCCCTCCCCGGGGAGCGGTACCGGCGGGCGCCGCCCGGCAGCCGGCCCGCAGGGAGAGGCGGCGGCCATCGCGCTCAGGTGGGCGAGCGGCGGGGCCGGCGGCCGGTGCCCCCGCCTGGGCGGGCCCCGGGGAAGGAGCTCGGACGGAGAAAAGCGGTGGGTGACGGCGAGCTGGCAGGCGTGGAAGGACCCGCAAGGGTTTTGGAGGAGAGGGGTCAGGGCTTGAATTGGAGGGCAGGGTCTCGTAGCAGCTGGGTGAGATCCGGGACTGTAGTGCCGTGTTCAGGAAGGAAAAATCGGGAAGATGGGCTGCAATCCGTCAGAAAACAAACTGTGCTCAGTAAGGACTCCAGACGACAGGAGTTACCTCTAACTTGATACTGATGCATGGAGAGAAGTGTTTTTTTGTTGTGGCTTTTTTTTTTTTTTTTTTTTAATCTTCATATTTGTACTCTAAAGCACATGACATTTTTATATGAGGTCAGTATTTCCCTAAGAACTTTTGAGCACTGCCCCAGGTGCCGCTTTTCTAAGCTGCTTTTGCTAGTCAAGTAAAAAACACTGTTACTGAAACAAAACTGTACTGTGTCTGAACCATGGTGGTAAGTTTACACAGCGCAACAATGGGCAAACTTAATAGTATAAATCTGTGCTCAAAATTTAGTTACGTGGATTGACATACCACGTAAGATGTGCAGTAGGGTCTTTTACTCACCTCCCTGCAAATGGAAGCTTGAATATACACTAGACATTTTTTTCACCCTCTTTCTTGCAGGAATACATTGTCATATATTCAGCAAAATCTCTCCCCCCAAACACATTGAGCAGGAAGAATATTACTTTGTATGCACGAAGAAATATTTCCTTAAATGTTACTCTAGAATTCTGCTAGGTGGTGGGGATTTTTATTTTTTCCCCGATCTTCTAAAAGCAGTAAACCCCAGAGCTTTACTGAAGTTCTGAAATATTTTAACTTTATTATTTTATTGGAATTAGAGTGGTGTAGATATGCTTCTGCTATTTTATTTACACTTTCAGTTCTGAATTTTAAATGTTTTAGCTCTTCATGTAGTTAAACCCTAGCCCATAGTCAACTAGTCATAGCTAAATACTTTGGCTCATATTTCATGCATTGAAAAGAAATAAACCAACCGACAGACAGGTTTTCTCAGTTCTTCCTGAAAAAGAGATGGGAGGAGGAGGGTATTTTAAAAAGGAAGGTATGGCTGTGTTTGCCATCCTCCCTTCCCATTCTGTGTATTGACAGTGGCAGGCTTGGATACTTGCAATTGCGACTGCTACTGCATTACAGGGATATAAGTTTCTTAGGCAGACTGTTTCTGGATGACTTGTGTCTATATATTGGTGCCTGATTAAGGCTGTGGTCCAGAGATGAAGATAGCAGCTAAAGTTTTAGGCAAATACCTGCTCTGTTGATGCTCTACTAACATGTAGTAGGTGTTACACATTTTTTGAATATCATGCTTCAGTGCTAAATTTATGTTCTGTGCATACTATTATACATTGTTATGTATAGCTTTGTGGTGTGTGTTTTTTTTTTTTTGTGGAATTTTGTGTTTGGTTGTTTCTTTTTTAAATAAAATGTAACTTTGTTATTTTACAGTAATGTCAGTATTTTCCTGTAGGATCTGGAGGAAAAAAATTCGTTCTTAGTTTTGAAATTTTATCCTACCTGGTGTTAAAAGCTAATACAGCAGTTTAAACATGGATCTTCAAGTAGCTTCTGGGAAATGAACTTATGAATGAATTGATTTTACTTTTAGTGTTCTTATAAATCTATTTTAAACTCATGAGGATCGATAATTAGCTTTGAGGTAAAATGCCTCAAGGCCATGCAGCCCTTAAGGTGAAGGTCTCTGAACCAAACAAGTAGTGCTCAGAAGTCCAGGAAGTTTTGCTGTTGTTTCTCTACTGTAGAAATGTTTCTTTTGCAAGTCTGAACTGTAATGTAATCTGTTTCAGTTAAGCTTTTTTTTCCATTATGTTTTGTGTAGTTGAGTCTGTTGATGCTTCTGAGGGTGTATAAATAACAAATTATCATGATACAGTTTCTTAGGATGGATTTGAAAAAATACAGGATGTTTACTGATAGATGAGAATAACGAATTCTGGTGCTAGGCTGAAGTAGAGCCTGTGGCATTGTGGCTTAATATTTTTAATGGCATTTCTCTCATGTAAGAAGTGCAGGTAACTACCATATGAAATGACCAAGCTTTCCATTCAGTGGTTTTAAGATAAGGTGGTGTCTAGAAAATAGTCAAGGGGAAAACAAAAATCTATCCATAACCTTGGGCTATTTCTTGGTTTTGATAACTGTTGTCTGAAGGAGACCATCCGCATTCTGTTAAAGATCATAGTCTAGGATGCAATCTTAGGTTTGTTTTCTACATCTGTTTGACCTAAGGGCCCAACATTATCATGTTTGATAACTGATTGGTACTATCTTGCAGTGTGGTATGCGTAATGGAGATGCAGAAACCATGTAGCAGAAAGCTTTGAGCAGTTGTGGATTATCAGTTTCTCCCAACAGCAACAAAAAGTGAAGAATGAAGGCGACTGGATTTATTTCCCTATGGACGTTGGTTTCACTGCCATGTGGCCAGTTAGCCAATCCTGCAGAACGTGAAGATGTAGTAAAGCATGCAATAAAGCTGCACCGTGGGAAAGGAGCTGTTATCACTCAGAGAAAGCAGTGGGTGTTGGAGAGCTGCAGAAAACTCTCTGGTCTTCTTCGCCAAAAGAATGTTGTTCTCAACAAACTAAAAAGTGCTATAAGAGCAGTTGAGAAGGATGCAGGACTGTCAGACGAAGAGAAACTTTTTCAGGTGCATACCTTTGAAATTTTCCAAAAGGAGCTAAATGAAAGTGAAAACTCAGTCTTTCAAGCAATCCATGGCCTTCAGAGAGCTCTACAGGGTGATTACAAAGATGTTGTAAATATGAAAGAAAGCAGCAGGCAGAGACTGGAAGCCTTGAGAGAAGCTGCAATTAAGGTCAGTTCCCTCATGTTTATTACAAGATTATTAATATTCTAATTGTGTTTTTAATTTTATTATGGCATGGATTCAATCTGTTTTGATAAAAAAGTGGATCTACATGGAACTTGCAATATTTTGCTGTTTAAAGTGGATTTTGAATAAAGTAGTCTCATTAGTAAAGTTAGAAGTAATTCTGGTGTAGAGTTTAAAACTTACTAACAGTCAATAGTTCTTATTTAAAAACAAAGCTAAGCATAATCATAAAACCTATGGCAAATATTGTATTAAAGGGAAAGGAATACAAGAAGTGAGTCAGTGCACATAGCACAGTTGCACTAGATAAGCCAGTGGGATTATCAGAGTGGAAATAATGCCATAAATTGGCAAATATTATGTTAAAGGGAGAGGAGTACAAAAAGTGAGTCAGTACACATAGCACAGTTGCACTAGATAAACCAGTGGGATTACCAGAGTGGAAATAATGCCATAAATTGGCAAAATAATAACTTTTTTCCACCTTAAATGAGAATTGCTCAGCCCAAATCTACAGTGTAAACAGAATGACTTCTTGCCTTTTATTTCTGTATTCGTATAGATGTAGATAAAATAGACATGTAAAACATGAGGTGAGTAGATTTTTAATCTCAGCATAGCATAGCGAGCCTAAGAAGTGCAGGTTTAGAAAATGGTGCTTCCAAGAAAGAGCTGGCTGAGATAACTTCACCCAGAAAAGCACAGGCGAGTAACAGTTGAGCGCAGGTGCTTCATGGAAGATTTGCGTTCCTATGTCAGTGCAGAGCTGTTAGGGTGTGCACAATCTGCCACCACTTACTGGACCTGGTAGTGCTCAGACTGTGTACTGAAAGTCTCCCATTGAGAGAAAATATCATTTAATTGATTTGGCATTTAAATCGCTCTTTTCCTTGCTCTATACCTCAACAACTGGAGGAATATATTAAGAATTTTCTTTGTATTCTGTCTTCTAAAAGAAAAGGCTGCCCCTGTGCATGGGAGCAAGAGAAGGAAAAAAAAATGTAATTGAGATGTAGGATCTGAGCTGAGAGAATCTCTGACAGGTATTTGTGTAAGAGATGTGCAGATCTTAAAACGTGAAGGTGGCACGAGATTGCGTGTGAGAAAGCTGTGCAGTGAATTGTGGCAAGAAAGGCTGGTGGAAGTAGAAGTTAGGATGCAGACTTGGAAGACTGAAGTGGTCTATGCAGTGAAAACAAACACTAATTATGACAAATTTGGATAGTGAATAGCTTGGATCTAGATGTGTTCCTCTGAAATGTTCACTGTGACCTTGATATTGACTAATGGTAGTGCCAGCTTCTGTTGCATAGAAATGGCAGCAATTGTCATTAAAATGATTTGATTTTCCACTTTTTTTTTTTTAATCAGAGCTCTTAAAATAGCAGCAGTGAAGCTGTCCAGAATCGTTTTTTCTCATTTACCTAACTCTTGACAATGTTACTAGAAAACACTGAAGTAATCTATCCTTGAACTTGAGAATGGTGCTTCCTCATTTTTCTCATAAAAGGAGGCCTGTGTGTATAATGATGTGGTTTAGATGTGTGTCTTGTCAGAACTTCACTTCTGCAGAGGTGGATTGTTTAGTCTTTTTTTTTTTTTATCATACCAAGTTATTTACTTGAACAAGCAACTTTTTACACCTTTCTTTCTTATGTCACGCATACTATTATTTAAATAGAATATTTGTTGTTCTAACCTTACAATTGTTACATAAAGTGAAACAAAGGGTATACCAAAAAAGTTGAAAATTACATAGAATACATTGTTTGGGCTTGTTCTTACTTCAGAAGACACACATTAGCTCCAGTTTTGTTTCAGTTCCATTTTATTGTAATGATTACTTTGTTGGTGTACTCATGAGACATCCCTTCCATTTTTTAAAAAGTGATTGCATGGAAAATACAAACGACTGTAGGGGGTGCTGGACTCTTTCCTTCATATTACTTCTGTTGAGCTGAAGTATTTGGAGGTGTTTAGTGTTGGGATATGTATGCATGTGTGATGCATTTCTTGCTGATTCTGCTGCTGGAAAAAGGTATAGAGGAATCTTTAATGGGGTGGGGAGGAAGGAAGAAGCACTGAAGATGGCTTCTGCTTTCCTTTGCTCCAGGAACCTGTCTGGAGGTTCAGGAAAAAGCAACAAAATCTTACCTACTTTTTATCAGCTTCTAATTTCTTGGGTGCCTACTACTTAGACATTGATGGAAAAAATCACTCACAAGTAGTGAAAAGATGCATCCTCTTCTGTATGTGCTTTTTTCATCCCTGATTAAATAGTAGAGAGCAACAGCATGTTCATAACCAGCATTGCCCCAAAGTCTTACTTAATTTTATTTCATTTTGCTCATGTGTTTCTAGGTGTTCCAGTCTCCTTTTTAGTGCACAATCCTTATCTGTGTTACCTTGCTTAAAAGTTTGTTTGGTACGTACCTTGCAATCAGCTGTCTCCAGTCGCAGCGTGAGTTGCAGAACGGTGTTCGTACTGACGTGTGCTTCTGCTCAACATGTAGCAGGCTGTTTGAGATGGTTTGTCCTTTCCATGGACGCTATTCTCTGTGATTGTCCCACTCTACTGCCGTGACACTGAGCTGTAGGTGAAAACAGAGATGCCATTTTAATAGACTACGAAAACTTCTTTCTTCATTAATTAAAGGAATTTAGTTAAACTCAGATTTTTTTTCAAAGCTCTTCTACCTTGCTATTCAGAGAAAGTTAACTTCTTGCAAATTAGAGTGTAACTTATTTTTCTGCAGTTTAGCTCTGGTCAGCCTGTTTGTCTCAGCTGACAGAAAGTACTGATTGGCTCCCTCCACCCAAAACCTGTTCCATTTTTGAGGGGAAAGAACCTAGCCCTTATCAATTCCATCTCATGTTCCAAGTTGTTGCTGACCGAGGAAAGAATCTGCAGCTCATATGCGGGCTGTTTTTTATGTCTTTGAAGCAGTGTCTGCTAGCAGAGAACAAGAGAGAGGAAATGTTTTTCCTTGAGGCTGTATGAAAGTGACTGTGTCTCTTGCTTATGTGTTGCATAAGAACTAAAGCAGTTGACATCGGGCCAAACACATTGTTACATTTTTCCCAACTCCAGTTATTTTGGGAACCGGGTAATTTTCATCATGCCGGTGTAACTATGGTAATTCTGAACACCAACAGACAGCAATTCTGTGTTTTCATCACAACCAGAAGTATTCCTCTGACTGTCAGGATTTAAAATGGGTTAAGCTACAGTTACAGGCTGTAGTGAGCATACTCTTGCCTTGGCATCAAGGAATTGATTAAATTATATACATGTTCTTGCAGGTTTCAAGGGGAAAAACGTCCATCCGCAAACATGTGTGGAAGAGGGGACACTCCAATTATTGAAACACAGGAGTTCAGGACTGTTTTAGATAACCAGGTTATCTAAGATACCTGTGTGGGGTACGCAGATAAAATGTACAACCTAAGGGAGACCTACGTTCTGATTTCTCAGTGGGTATGGCAAGGCATCTAAAATGGAGACAGAAACTTGTGTTTTCTGGGAATTCAGTCTGACCTAGAGAGTGCTTCTGTTTTTGCCTGTTCTGTTTTTTCCCTTGGTAATAATAACGGCTCTCTTAAAGAACAGATCTAGGGTCTCTCTCCTCTAATATTCTCAGCATCCTGAGTCTGACTGAAAGGAAAAAGCCTGCCGTTGTGTATGTTTCCTCATTCATAGTTCTCTCTCTCAACCAGTGCATCTTTAAAAGAATGTAGGCATGCAAAGTGAAACAACTTTTTTCCAAAAAACTCAAATTATGCTCTGTCAATGCACAAAGTATAATGGTTATTATCTCGTAACCATGTAGAAGGTGAGGTGTTAAGTCCAGGCTTGATCAGTAAATAAACTTTTTTAGTTCCTATTTTAAACCTGAACCATCCAAAGAGAAATGAAACATCATAAATTTATTAGGGAAGCTACTGAAATATTTTTACACCATGTCAAACCACATCAGCCTTTTTTCTTTTCTTACTTCTGAAGCCTAGAAATGGATTTCAGAAGTCATTAATGCAAGTTCGTAAGAGGCCTAAACTGAGAAGATAGACAAAATCAAGTATTTTACTTCTGATAGGAAAGATGCTTCTTGAGAAACATATACAGAAACCTCAGCTAGTGTGCTTGACAGCTCATCTGTACTCTCTCCCAACTGCCTTTTTTTTTTTAGCTGTTTCCACAGTTATTGTAGTTTTTGAAAACTATAAACAGACCTCTTCCCATGTTTATAAAATGGCCTATAAAATTAAGTTTCATTGGGTTTTCTTTCCAATTTGTTTGTTTGTTGTAGCTAGTAAAGCTATGCTTTTAAGTTTATTATGCTTCCCTGCTAAAGCACTGAGCTCTAAATTTTACTTGGCTTTGAAATTTTTCCTAGAGTTCCTCAAAGTAATTTCTTTCTTGTATTTTCTGGATCATAACCTTGGGGCAGCTCTACAGTTTAATGGATTAGAAAAGGCAATTGGTGGATATTGTGTTTGGTTGTTGTTTTTCTTTCCCACTTCCCCCAGTGAAAACTGGCACAAGAGAAAGCAAACTTCAAATACCATTATAGAGTTTGTATTGCTTTTGCAATTCCACTCGTAAGACGTTTTCTGTCAAAAGAAATGTACATTTATGTCAAATGTTTTTCTGCTTGAAGGCCTGGCCAGCACTTTATCTGTGTGTTGTAAAATTCGACAGGAAGAAATGGAATATGTCGAACTCTTAGCAGCAGAAAAACATCAGGTTGAAGCCCTTAAGAACATGCAGCATCAAAACAAAAGCCTGTCAATGCTTGATGAAATTCTGGAAGATGTGAGAAAAGCAGCTGATAGATTGGAAGAAGAAATAGAAGAGCATGCCTTTGATGACAACAAATCTGTAAGTGATTTAGACTCAGTCTTTTCATTCATGTGCATTTATTTTTTTAGTTGATATTTGCACTGTAGGGGTGTTTCTCTTGCGTTAAATAGTTGTTAGCATTTTAGTGACTATTTGAAAAAAACAAAGAACTTTTGGCTCTGCATTTGTTTTTGTTTCCCTTTCAACAGAAGAAAGTATTTAGTGGTAGAATGATTGCTGGTTAGGAGTGAGCCAATGGGAATAATTATTCCTTTTTGCTGATGATTTCTGTTGTTTTGATTTGAAAGTCCTCCCTGCAGCTGCCACTTTGATAGTGACAAGTGAAGTCCGTCTCGCTGGTGCAGCCCATGAGAGTTACGATATCTCAGTGGTGGTGGCGGCGAGTTCAGTGATATTTAGACTTTCCAGGATATGGAGTTACCACGTTAAGCATAGCGTCCAGTTTTTTCTTTTTCATTTTGTTGAGAAGATCATGGGATAACAAGAATTCTTGCACTTAGTTTTCACAGCCTGGGAAGAGATATATTGCTCAAGGAAATGACTTGAAATGTGTTGATGGTGCTGCTTTCTTCCACGTCTGACTTCCTCTGCTTTTCATACCTTGGCATATCTGCATCATTCATTGTTTTTATGTTGCATGATGGATGGTATCCTTCGGGTAAGGCTGTGTGTATTTGGAGCTGGGAGTATGTCAGTTTGTTTTAGTGACCCATTGTGCTGTCCTCAGAGACTGACTCTCTAAACTGGTCCTGTTGTGTGAACACGGGTTGGAATTTTATTTGGCTTTTGCTCTTGAAAGGTTTTTGTTGTTTTGCAGATTGACTTCCAAGGTGAGCATAGCTCTTGAATTCTGCTGAGACAGAAAAACAGTTGCTCTCTGTAGGGAGCCGGGCCAATTTTTTGTAGTTGTACTGAGAGCAATTGAAAGTGGCTTTTTATTTTTCATACACCAGATCTCAGGAGCAGTTGTACCCAGTGGGGATCCTACCTTTGCAGGACCAACAGCAGGGAAGGGACGAGTTTGCTGGAGTGCCCTCTTCTGTTCCGCTGGGGGTATAACGGCACGTTTTAGAGAAAGCAGGAATGAGGTTTCTTCTGCTACACCTGAGAATTGGCAAAATGCCAACGCATCCTTTTTCTCCAGTGCATCTCTCTGGTTTTCTGCTTCTGTCTCTAGTCATGAAAGAAGACAAATCATGAAATGCAGTCTGGAGGACTGTTTACATCTCCATCTTTGAAAGAAACATAGTGTGTTTTTTCTTAAGCTAGAGCACTGGAACATTAGAACAAAGGAGCTCTAATGATAAAGATACAAAAGCTCCTATTAAAATAAAGTCAAATAGAGATGTATAGTAGGTACAAATGGAAAAAAAAAAGAATCTGAGCTAACCCACTTAATGCGCAAATACTCTTGTCTTGTATTGTATTCTGTTATGTACAGCCTGTTTTTAGGAACTGCTGTTTTAGGAAATAAAATTCTCTTTTCTTTCATTATGTCCTCAAATGTATTAGTATTTAAGAGCTCATTTGAACCTGTGCCATCTCCTCTTGTTCTAGAATAGTCTGTCTTTTGTCAGTTCCCTTTTCTTTTGTAAAAGTAAAAATACATCATAATATCCACACAATGTATGATTTTTACATACATTACACAGAAAAAAGATTGTTTTTCGTAATTGTCTTAATCTTACAAACATCTTTCCTTTTTTCCTAATATTGTTTCTGACCTGTACTGTGAACTCCACTGGATGAGGAATGTATTTTTTGAATTGCATTGCTTTTGATACTTTTAAAATTTTGATGCAGAGAAGTTTGTTTAGATTCCAGACACGCAAGCTACAAAGCACGAAGGAACATATAACAAACTCTGTACGAATTTGGAGTTCCAGAGCTTCAAAGTAGACACTTCACTGCTGATGTATTTTATAAGATAATTTTGCTCACTGAACACTAGTGCTGATGTCATAACATTAAATTCACAAGAAGATACTAGAACAGATGTTGACTTACTAGCATTTCGGGTTTTAGGCAAAGTAATAGTCATCTGCAAGATGGGGATACTGTACTGAACACTGAAATAATTCCAGTGTGGAAGTCAGTGTAAAGTATGTTTTATATTGCAGAGCTAGCACTTAACAGTAAGCTCTAAGCTCTGTTTTAGTATCCCTGGAGTATTGACGAGGATGTGGGAGAGGGCTCGGGAGCAAAGATGACAGGAAAACAGTAGGACTGGGCACTTACTGTGTATTTTGATTAGAAACAGTTCTTCATGTTTGCTGACTGTGGGGAAGCCTTTCTTCTTTGCTCCAATACTGTGAGAATAGTTTGCATGTACTGCACGCAGCTGCTCCTGCTTTCTCCCATCAGCTGAAAACGTGAAACCATGGTTTGGTCTCTTAGACTTGGCAACGGACACATCATTCTAGAATGCAAAACAGCCTGGTAAGTAGGGAGTTTAGGAAAGTAAAGGCAAAATGTATATAAAAAGACAGGTTATGAGCAAAAATGGGGAAAAGATAACTTTCATGGAATGGTTTGGGTTGGAAGGGACCTTAAAGACCATCCAGTCCCACCCCCCTGCCCCGGGCAGGGCCCCCTTCCCCCAGCCCAGGGGGCTCCCAGCCCCGTCCAACCTGGCCTGGAACCCTTCCAGGGAGGGGGCAGCCACAGCTGCTCTGGGCACCCTGGGCCAGTGTCTCACAGTAAACAATTCCTTCCTTGTATCTAATCTAAATCTACCCTCTTTCAGTCTAAAGCCATTACCCCTTGTTCTATTGCTGCATACCCTTGTATGGCTCTGGGCATCTATTGCTGGCACTGGCATCAAAGAGGTAGGAGTGCGATGGGTTGAGATTCCCCTCTCCTGGCAACTTTAGATTAAAGCCCTCTTCACCAGTTTGGCAAGCCTGTGACTGAAGATGCTTTTCCCATTTTGACAGATGGACCTCATCAGCCTGCAGCAGACTAAGTTTCTCAAAGCGAGCCCTGTGGTCTAAGTAGCCAAAGCTCTGCCTGTGGCACCAGTTCTGTAACCATTTGTTGATTCACCAGATTTGACTGGCCCTTTCAAACCCCTTCCCTTTGACCCGGGAGGATTGATGAAAAAATTACCTGCACTCCAGAGTCCCTTACAGCCGCTCCCAGGGCTCTGTAATCCCTCTTGACACTCCTCAGACTGCTTCTGGCTGCATCACTGGTGCCCATGTAGAACAGCAGCAGCGGACAATAGTGGACTGCACGAAGCTCAGTGGTCTCCTGGTGACATAATGCATAAAAAGAAAATGGTCATCAGCCTCTTACTCCCAACAGCTAAAAATGCTGATATTTGAAGCAGCTATTTTATGCTTCTAAATCGTTCTGCAAACTTCCTAATTTGTTTCACATTCCTTTTTTTCCCCTCTCTGTCTGATTCATAGTGACTTCCAATTCGTTAGAGGCCCGTCATATTGCATGATGTACAAAAACAGGGGAAGAGGTCATTCCCACAGTAAAAGTTTTTATTTAATTATCCACACATACACGTGAATGTGAGGAGTGGAAGAAAAGTATAAAAAGTGTAGGTTAAATATTAAACATTGCAAATGCAATATTTATTTGAACAGTTTGGAGAAATATGCTGGGGAATCAGCAAAGAAAAATAGGAGATTGTTTTATAGATAGTTTACGTGAATGCATTTCTTCATTAAATTGGGGAGTTGCTTGGGCAAAATACAGAAATCCAGAAAAGTTGAATCTTTTGTAATGAGTCATTGGAATGACAACAGCCTACTTTCTTCACTGGATTCTAAAAGAAGTAACAACCTTAACTGTTTCTGAATATTGGTAAAATCTACATTACTTAAAATACAGCGAGTAATGAAATCATCCGAGTGTCTTCCACTTTGTAATTACAGGCACTGAAGGCAGAGCTATGTGGAAACAGTTCTTATCCTGTTTCCTTTACATTTACAGTGCAGTGACTTTTTCTTGACTTGGAATGCAGTCTTTATTTCAGATTTTTGTGAACTGAATATCACTTTGTTATCTATAATTGGTTTTGTTCAAGGGAATAAAATGTTACATTTCAATCCAACACTTTGTGTTCTAACTGTGATAAAACTTTTTTAAAAAAAATATTTCAGATTAGATGCAATTGAAAATACTGAATTGGAATTTTACAGTTTTAAAACCCTGTCTATATTTTTTAGTTGGACAACTTGTCTAAAGAGGTCTGGCAAACCCCTTGTTTTTAAAAATGTAAAGCTAATTGTAGTCTTTTTAGTTATGGACATCAGGTTTTGATGAAGAGACCGGAAGGCTTCTCTAAGAAGAAACTGCAGTATTTTTATCCATTGTCAACATATTCTGGAAAAACTTCAAGCACAGCTAATAGTCTTTCCCTTTTGAATGTATGCTTCATTGACACCCCCCTCCCCCTTTTTTTTTTTTATTTTTGTTATTTGCTTTCTTACAGGTAAGAGGTGTAAACTTTGAAGCAGTTTTGCGGGTGGAAGAAGATGAGGCTAACTCCAAAAGAAATGCTTCAAAAAGAGAAGTAGAGGATGACTTAGGTCTTAGTATGCTTATTGATTCCCAGAACAATCAGTATATCCTTACCAAGCCCAGAGATTCAACCATTCCTCGTGCTGATCATCATTTCATAAAGGTAATGATTTTAGAGACAGTCTTGTCGTTTGTTTTGGTAAGATCTAGTCCCACTAGTTTTCATTCCAGTACTGCTTGATTTAATTAAATATGGTTTCAGCATTTGTCCTCTAAAGTTACCCTAGCATTCATGATTCCCCAGTCTGTTGGTGATCTGGCCGATGTCTCCCCTACTCCTAGTGTAGTCTTCACAAGACTGATTGTGATGCCACATTAATCCTATCTTTTTTAATTTGATTTAACTTGTTGCAACTTTGGGGCATCATTCCCTGTCTTGGACTGCACAGCATTAAGGCAAGCTACTACTATCCCTCATAAGCCACTTGTATGTTGTCACTAGAGAGAGTTTATCTGTTTGTCTCATGATGGAAAAAGGGATGCTGGAAAATATCAACAAGTTTTTTATTGTATTTGTGCTTCATGAAGAATAACTAGATTGGGATTAAAAAAAAAAAAATTAAACTGGATCTGTTTCCCCATTTTGTTTTAATGCAAGGTGTCATTCCCCAGGAAACTGTCTACTTCTTATAATGTATTTAAAATATTTAATAACTTGATCAAAAGTCCCCAGAGCTACCAATTACTTAAGGTTAGTACTTCATCTGCAACATTGCAATGCTTAACACCTACAACAAAGTGTTCAGGTTAGTTTACTGAACTTGTATTTTCTTTCCACAGACAGTATCCTACATTTACTTTTACAATGCCATTTATCTTTTGAAAGATAATAATCTTTAATTTCATCACAAATTTGCATGTCCTTTATATTAACACATTTGTAAATCTTACATATTTAGGATATTGTGACAATAGGAATGTTGTCTTTGCCATGTGGCTGGCTGTGCACAACAATAGGATTGCCAACCATGTTTGGGTATATCATCTGTGGAGTACTCTTAGGACCATCAGGACTAAATAGTATCAAAGTAAGTGTTCAAGTTGCTTCTTGACTCATTTAATTTGTTGAAATATTTAAAAGTGGTTTCAAAAGAATGTGGTATTGCCAACCTCAAATGTATTTAAAACAATAAAAAAAACCTCCCCAAACTTGGACCTTTGCAAAATGAGGCCTTAAAATTTTATGTCTTTGAATCACTTTGTTTTCAATCTTTTTTCTCCTATATAATCATGATACAAGCAATTGTTGAAAGTGAAAGCTGAAATTTGTCTATTGTGTTTTTTTTTTGATTGTTTGTTTTTTTTCATAAAGCATCATATTTGAGAGCCAAATTATGTAAATGACATCAAATATTCAGAAACTTGCAAAAAACCAGTGTTGACGGTGGGGGAAGTGTCGAGTAGCATAACTTGGCTTCTTTGAGAGTTATTTTGCATCTCTGTAGCTCTTTCATCCATCTTAGTCACCCTAGTTCTTTTCCAGTCCCCTGCCTACATTCCTGAAGTCTCTTCAACCTTTTTAGCTCTGTCACGTGTACCCTGATTACTAGCTCATGTGAAACCATGGGCTGTGGTTGGCTAGACAAAGCACATGTTTTGATTAGTGGTCTGGTCTGCATTAACAGATTGTTTAGCCAGCAGGCAAAACAGAACACATGTTAATGTCTGGTTAAGTTGCACGTGTCTATTACATTGATATTCACGTAACTGCTTGGAACTTACTGTCTTTGCAACATCTGCTCTTATGTGGACTTTTGTTGAAAATGACTGTTGGGCTCAGAAGTAAGTAGGGGTGAGTAGAAACTGTAGGATTTTGTCAATCTCTGAAGAGAAATACTACAGTTTCAAAATTTCCTATTCTAAAATTCAGATTAAATAACAACCTTTGTGTCATGCATAACTTCTTGTTTGAGAAGGTCTGGAGAGCTTGACCACTTAGACTGAGAAACAAGTTTGTAAGCTTGGTATTATAAAGAAGTTCAGCAATGAATTTTCAGAGACATATACTGAGGAAGGTGATATGGTCAGAACAGACATGAGAGAAGTTTCTTTAAGACAGTTTCTCAGTGAGCTGCTGGTTTCTTGTAGACCTGTGATTAAACATTATTCATCTGGATAATGTTCACGTTGACTGGGTCTCTCTCATGTGTGCTCTCTCCTTTTGTCTCTTCTGTGTTTCATAAAAAAGTTGAATGTCAGAGGAACTGAGGCAGCAGACAGATTCTAATCTGGCAGGGAAGATAGTTTCTGTCTCTACTTCTCTATGATTGATGGTAGACCCTGTCCTCTTCTGCTCTGGGCAGTAAATACATAGTAAAGAAATGTTAGGTTTTTAGAATAGAATAGACTATTTCAGTTGGAAGGGTCCTACCATGATCATCTAGTCCAACTGCCTGACCAGTTCAGGGCTGACCAAAAGCCAAAGCATGCTGTTAAGGGCATTGCCCAAACGCCTCTTAAACACGGACAGGCTTGGGGCATTGACCACCTTTCCAGGAAGCCTGTTCTAGCGTTTGACTACCCTCTAGGTAAAAAAATGCTTCCCAGTGTCCAGTCTGAACCTTCCCCGGCACAGCTCTGAACCATTCCCACGTGCCCTGTCACACTGGGTCCCAGGGAGAAGAGCTCAGCACCTCTCTTTCCACTTCTTCCCCTCCTCAGGCAGCTGTGGAGAGCAATGAGGTCGCCCCTCAGCCTCCTTTTCTCCAAACTAGACAAGCCTACGAGGTCCTTAGCTGTCCCTCACAGGACATGCCTTCCAGCCCTGTCACCAGCTTGGCTGCCCTCCCCTGGACACATTCCAGGACCTTCACAGCCTTCCTAAACTGCGGGGCCCAGAACCGCACGCAGCACTCCCGGTGAGGCCGCACCGACGCTGAATACAGCGGGATAATCACCGCTTGTGACCGGCTGGTTATGCTGAGTTGGAGGCACCCCAGGATGGGGTTTGCCCCCCTGGCTGCCAGGGCTCACTGCTGACTCGTATTGAGCCTGCTGCCGACCAGCTCCCCCACATCCCTGTCTGCAGGGCTGCTCTCCAGCCACTCCTCTCCCAATTTATACTTGTGCCTGGCATCACTCAATCGTAGGTACAGAATATGGCATTTGGACTTCTAAAATTTAATCTCATTAATCATTTCCAATGTTCCAGTCTATCTACATCCCTCTGCAGGGCCTCTTGTTCCTCAAGAGAGTCAAAAGCACCTCCCAGTCTGGTATCATCTGCAAACTTGCTAATAGTGCATTCAACTCTTGCATCCAGACTCTCGATAAATATATTGAATGGCACTGGCCCTAGAATTGAACCCTGAGGAACACTGCTGGTGTCCAGTTGCCAGCTAGCTATAGCCCCCTTTTTCTGTTGTGTCAAGGAAGAAAACCACTTTTCTTGCTGTTGCACCCTTCTCTCTGAAGTGGAAAGGCTGGTGGTTGTACTGCTCTGAGAGGTGGATGCGTGGAGTCTATGGGATGGAGAGCAGAACAGCAACTACAGTTTAACAGAATGATCATACCAATAGACCAATAAAATAACTAGCCAGAAGTAACTTCTGGAATGCAAGATTTGGGGATTTAATAGCATATGCATGAAACATAACCTATTTATTTTGAACAAGAATGCAAGCTTACTTAGATCAATGAAAATGTGGTTTGGGTGACCAGTACTGTCCAACCAAATTATCTAGTTAGCAGCCAGGTGATGGGAAAAATGTTTAAACCCTAAAGTCGCGGAGGAAATTTCTTATCTTGTATAACCAACGAGTGAACTACCTATGGAAACATAATGAGAAACAATTTGTTTTGTAAGTGGACTTGTAATTTGTATTATAAGTAGACTGCTGTGCTCTGACTTTTTTTTTTTTTTTTTTTTAAAGTCTATTGTACAGGTGGAGACATTAGGAGAGTTTGGGGTATTCTTCACTCTCTTTCTAGTTGGTCTGGAATTTTCTCCTGAAAGATTAAGAAAGGTATTTTTGTATAATACCTCTACATTACAGGATTTAATTGCTAATGTTCAAGTTACCGGTTATATTTCAGATTTTTATTCTCTTCCTATATACTGGTGTAACTTTGTACATTTTTGCAAAGACAAATATGACATTTGCCTCTTCTGTTTAACTCAGAACAGAATGCATTATTTATTAGGTGTCTCAAAAAAATCCCCCAACTTTGCTATTCCTCTTCATTTTAGTAAAACAATTTGATTACTAGAAAAATCTCACACAATTTTTGGCAATCCATCTCTGCTTTAACATGCAGTAACATGCAGTTGCTGTTCTGGAGTGTCCAGTGATATTTGCCAGTCCTGTTATAAAAAAAATTCAGTTTAAGTACTGCATATTGAATTGATGATACATATTGTACTGGCTAATAAACTGATTATGCAAATATGTTAGCACAATCTGGAATATTACATGATGTGGCCATCAGGAATCAGCAAAAAACTACAAGCTTCTTTTGGTCTTAATTTTTTTTTTTAAAAAAAAGAAGTTATAAACCAGCTAGAATTTTAATAGTGGAAAATACTGCTGCAAAATATGTAAAGACTGTATGCATGTAAAGAGTTACATTGTGTGATTTGTTCCTAAACTGATGATTGTGAGTTCATGAGACCATAAAAGTTTTAAGTGAAGTGTGTTAAAATTTATGAGCATTCGGCTTAACCTGCTGTTCCTAGTCCATCTATAGTCAAAGATAAGAGTCAGTAATTCAGGAGTTCCTAAACTGTAGTATATAAATTGCTACTTCAGAATTGTGCGCGCACTAGTGTGGAGCAGGTTGCTGGTATTGATGATGGTCTTTGCCACTCTCATTTTTTCCCCACCCAGGAATCATATCAAATAACTGGTCTTCCATTTGATGATTTTAATATATTTCAGCCCATACTGGACCTTTGGCCCTTAATTTGTCTGAGAGGTCTAGGAGATTTACCTAATTTCTGGTAACAAGCCTTCTGGCATAGACCGTCTACTAGGCATAACAACTTCAGAGTTCTAGGAGGTATAGGATGACAGCCCATCACTTTTGCAGCCCAGCACTGCAGCCCCAAATTATGCATCTTTAACTGCTTATTTGTGCTGAAAATCACTGTAACTTATCAGTGAGGAAAGTGTCATCAGACTTGATCATAAGAACTTGTTTTCTTCCCAAGGTCTGGAAAATATCATTGCAAGGACCATGCTACATGACGGTTCTGATGATTGCCTTTGGTTTACTGTGGGGACACTTGCTCCAGATTAGACCAACACAAAGTGTCTTCATTTCTACTTGTTTATCTTTATCAAGCACGCCATTGGTGTCAAGATTTCTTGCAGGTAGTGTTCGAGGTGATAAAGAAGGTAAGTATGATTTTACATATGGACTACTGTAGTATCTACAGTAACATCTGAAATAAGTTGATTTTGTGATATTACAAGAGAAACAAGACAAAACCAACTGTTAAGTCTGATTTACGAGCAATCATTTTCTTTTAACACTGCTCAGTGTTGTGTATATTCTTGTTAAGAGGTGTACCTGCTATTTACATAGCCAGTCTTCTTTTAGAGAAAGACAGTGTAGCCAAATCAGTACTCTCCACGTTAAGAATTGACTTCACTGAGGGGCTGGAATCCTTGTGCTTTTTGAGAGGTTACCAGGTTAGACCATTACTACCAGTCTGTCATCAGGGCAGCAGGGTGAACTTAATTACTTAACATCCTTCTTCAGCAAACTAAGGCCAGCTCAGGTAGTCTTTCATAGCTAACAGCTCTTCAGATAAGTACCTTCAAGTGCCATATTGCTAGCTTCTCAAAGACTTCTAAATGTTTCCTTTCAGAAGTTTTGCTGTCATGCTTTCTTCCCCTTAAACCTCCCTCATACGTACTGCATTAAAGTTCTCCCCCACCCCCTAGAATATTCATATTCTAATGCCGAAATTCAGAGCATATATTTTACACATGCTGGCTCTTACATGTGTCTGTTATTCTAAAGACTGTATGCTTTCAGGAAAGGAGTTCCAGTAAATGCATAACTTGTGCTTAATTGCTAAGCAAAGCCTGTATTTTTATTGTGTAACAGAAACTTATTTTGAATATTTTATTTGAATTTTTAATATGTCTTTATATTTTAATTTACCGAGTAGTGGGGAAATGCATTGAGTGACCTCACGCCATTGAGAACTATGCTTAGCCTCCATTTGATTAAGGCATTTCTAGATTTCTGAGCACTGGGAGCATTCATAGATTCTGGTTAATGTTTCCATGACTGATTTGTTGGTGTACAGGGGATATTGACTACAGCAGCGTACTACTTGGCATGTTGGTGATGCAGGATGTGCAGCTTGGTTTATTTATAGCTGTCATGCCTACACTTATTCAAGCAGGAGTGAGCACATATTCCAGGTAAAAAAAAATTATTGTATATATTTTCCCCCCCACCCCCTTCCAATTAGTATATAGATCACCTTTATGAATATGAGAGCACTACAGTTAATTTCAGTTCCGTGAAATATATGCCCTCTGTTCCGTGAGTTCCTTTCACTATTTGTACTTGTCATGTTGTACGAGGATATTCTTTCTGCTCTAGGTGCCTTAGTCTTGTCCAGTACTTAAAATTTGTAGTAAGAAGTTTGTTATTGTAAAAAAATAAGTTCATTTTTTCAATTACTTTATTCCCCCAAGACACATTTTTGTCAAAGACTGTGTGATAATATTATTGAGCCTGATGGCTTACCTTGAAGATCAGTCAACATGGAAGTAAATTCTAGGCTGTAAAAGAGATTGCTGGGCATTCAGCAGATTTAGTATTCAGCTTGTTTACTAATGTATCTAAATATCTTACTGTAGCTACTGAGTTTGAACATCTGTGGAATTAGATCTTTTCACTTAAGGGGAACTGGTTGGGAGGCTTGAGAGCACTTGAAAGAAATGTTTTGTTTGTTCTTCTTTTCCAGCATTTTCAAGGAAATACTGAGAATACTGATACTGATTGGCCAAATTCTCTTTTCTCTGGCTGCTGTTTTTCTTATATGTCTTGTTATAAAGACTTATCTCATAGGACCGTATTATCGCAAGTTGCATGCAGAAAGCAAAGGGAATAAAGAAATCCTCATTCTAGGAATAACTGCATTCATCTTCCTTATGTTAACGGTAATCTTTTAAATTAATAAAACATTCTGATACCTGTGGTAGTTTACTGCATCAGTACCACCAAAACCATTGCACTTAATGTTATTGCATATCCATGTACCTCTTCTGTAGTTAATTATTTGGTTTTCAAATGTTTTAAAACAAACCCCAAATGCACAGATGATTCATGCATTACAGCATAGATGAGTAAGAAGAGATAAAATCTGAATGTCAATCAGCTCAACTTCTGCTGGTAACTCTTAATACAGCCCATTAGAGAATCAGGATTCCAGTTTTAATTTTGGGCTACTTCTTGCATTTGAAAATAATTCAGGATGGGTTTTGAGATACTGATAGTGGCTGATTGTGACATTTGCTCACAAGTTACTTTTCAATAGCAAATTCTCAACATGTTTTTTATTGTAATTTTATTTTTCTATGGGAGATAAACAGCTTGGGAAGAAGTTGAGAAAGTAGAGAAATGCCTTAAGGTTCATAGATTTTGATACCCCTTTTGGGTCTGGTTCATTTTCCTCTGAATCTTTTCTTCTATTTGTTTCTATCTCACGTTTCAGCCCTATGAAAAACTATTCTGCTGGAGAACAGAATGTGACAGTTGCTGATAATGTTGTGGGTTTGAAACTCCCATTATCCTGGATGTGCAGATTGTTATGTCCTCTTTAGAATTTCTGAGAAAAATTATCCCAGAAAGTTCCTATGCGTGTGCTTTTTTTTTCTAGGGGTACTTGCTTAATTATTGCAAGTCCAACAGAGAAAGCTGACCTCCTTCAGGAAGAAGGTCAAGAAAGTTAGTGAGAGCATAGCTTTAGAATTTGTTGATTTCTATTGTAGGTTAAAAATGCCATCCCTTTTCATATTCCAAATGTGTTACGTGATAAGCAAAGGAACAAAACTAACTTTTCCTATTTACTGTCTAACAAGCAGACATAACATTTGTAGACCAACTTCAATAAAAAACAACCACCAAACCACAAGAGTTGCATAAAATACTATAGTATCCAGCAGCAGTCTTTCTTTCATTAAAAATATGGCCTACATAGACTCATCTGATTGAAGTGGGTGAATTGTGCCCAAATCATGTATCAAATGTACATGGAGTTTGTCTCCATGACTTTACATAATATATGTGTGTATACAGACCTGAGGGAGAGTATGTTTGAGTGTGTTGGATTCATACTGCAAAACAGAATGCTTCTTCAGCATGGGAAACATTTGTGAAGGGGCTAATATTGTGTACTTTAAGTGAAAACAATTTTCCTTTTAAAGTTGATAAATAATGTATCAAAGGGAACAGTACAAAGGATACTGCATGTAACCTCAGTAAACCAGTTGAGATGCTTGATATTCACTGACACCGATACATTCATTATAGTAATGCTGCAAGTTGTGGTTTGAGCACAAAGACTTAAAAAAACCCCAATAATGAAAAAAAAAAAAAAAACAAACAAAACCAAAAAAGTATTTGCTTGTCCAGTTGAACAGCTCAACAAACAAATGTTCTGGAAAAAAAATCTTAATTGGTACAGATGCCCTACTGTGTCAGGAATAAAAAGATAAGATGGGGGATGACAATCTCATTTGAAAAAGTGTCGCATGTATTTGGAAGGGATAAGTAAGGTTTTTGGGTGCCAGGTAGGAAAACGATTAAACTGTCATGGTTCCTGCAAAGATCTTTCTCCTTGGAAAAGAACACCTAAATATTGAGGGAGTTTGCATAATTATCTGCAAACAGAATTTTTCATACTGGTGTAATTCTAAAAAAGCTTTTGAGTTTGTAGAGGGAGGAATAAGAGTGCATATTTAGTGGCCTTGACCAAAGATGACTCTGTGGCTGCATTTAGAAAACTTGAGGGATGTTTTTAAACAAAATCTTCTAACTCTCTATTTAGCATGTGAGTTATTCTGCAAGCCACATCCTTTCCACTACATGACAACGTGGGCAGGAATGATAAGATGTTCCTGCTGCATGCATACAGTTACTTGTTATGTACTTCAGGGTTGACTGAATTTCTGGGGTCCACCTAAGTTTATCCTGTATTGGGGCTCACCTGTAACACAAGCACATGTAATGCACGTTATATATAAACTTATTTTACTTGTTTCCTGTGTTTGAAAATCTCAGATGAATAATTAAACAAGAAATGCCATTTTTCTACCAATGAGGACAAATTCCATATGGAAAACCAAGAGGGGAGGATAGGGTAGAAGAGGTTCCTATACTGCAGTGTGAGTAAGCAATTTTAATGTAAGGATTATCCTGTCAGCTGAGGAACTTCCTGTATGGAAGTGACTTTTGAGCATTTCTGAACTGCTTGGCTCACTTGGATAACGTTGTAAGTCATTAAATCTGACACAGGATCTTAAATACATCTCTTCTTGATAAACTAACAGAGTAAAAGAGGTCCAACAAATCTTGAAGATGAGATATTTTACCAAAATTTGGAGCTTAAAATACCTCTTTGTCATCCCAGGTACTCTCAGATGGAACTGAAATTCCCCTCCCTTTTGTCCCTCAACTGGCTGGGGGGGATTGTATCAAGTGCCAATCCTGTAACAGTCTAGCAGACTTTGAGACATAGTTGTGCATCTTTCAGTGATGTACCTTGTTATCAGTAACAAAGGTGCAGTAGATCATTATTATACTTTCAGCAACTCCTTTTCAAGCTTTCAGTTACGCAGATACTGCCTTATTTATTTATTTATTTATTTATTTATTGGGGAACGGTTCTGAATCGCAACAGAGAACAAATCTCTCTTATGGTTTTAAATATGACCATTTAGGATCAATGGCAAAAATGGTACTTTTAGGTCGAGATAAATACCACAGTGAGCTGAAGAACATGTTGTATGTCAGCCAGAGTTCACTGGTGTAGTGTTGCTTTTTCATGTTCTGTACGTACAGAAACATCACAAGGAAAATAGTTTCAAACGTTATCCTGATTATTAATTGCTGTATTAGATATCTGCAGGGCAACAGTGGTCAGTTTTATTGTGTTTTAAAACTAAGTTGCTGAGTGTTCTTAAGGAAATGGAAAAAAATAAAACCTGACCTGACAAGGATAGCAGTTACATTTACATGTTTATAGGACTGTGCATACACAGAGGGGAGGGGGGGAAAGTGGCTTCCAGTTTAACTGCCTTATGGTTGACCTGGGATGATGGCAGCAGAGGGAAATTGCCAGCTTGCTTTATATACCAAAAAGATGAAAAGAAAATACAGCTATGTTATTGCAGCACTTTATATATGGAAATGTACATACTTTTTCATGCAGTGTATTAGGAATGTCCTTCCTTGTTTGCCTGGAGTACTTCTCAATGGCTCAAAACCTGCTTATGAACTCCTTTCTGTCAACTGAAAGGAGAAGATTAAGGAAGAACTGTAATCTCAAATATTGAAATTAATCATTTAATAAAATACAGTTGAGATGGAGTTTTTACAAGGCTCACTAAAAATTGTTTCCCTTTCCATTAAGACTTATGCAAGCTTAGAATTCACCTCTTCACTCTTGGGCAGATTTAAGTTGTTGAAGCCTGAAATTCTACTAAGTTTATTTCCATCTGGGATTTCTTTAATTTTGCTAACCTACCATGTTCATTAAGCTTCTGTGATGACTGAGGAGTAGCAATAAGATACACAGTATTAGAGAATGCAAAACAACTGCTGAACAAATGGTTGAAATTCAACTGGAGCATGTTATAGCAGTAATGTTTACTTCTTTATTTATTACTATGGTAGAACATTTGAACATAAAATCCAGTATTCTAGTGAAAGCAAAGCAATCCTTTCTGAATTAGAGTAAAATGGGACCTTTGAAAGCAACTGAAAACTAAATTGTACTGGGAAAAACATGTAAATTGACAAAACTTTTCATTTCATTTTGACTAAAAAAGCTTTCTGAAACACAGGAGCTGAGAAAGGGACACCGCAGAGCCCAGGCATTAGTAATTGTTTGAGCCCTGTTTGGTAAAGGCAAAACGTTAAAAAGTGATGCAAGCAGAGAGGAAATACTAAATGCAAAATACTTTCCAAGTGTTGCTTATGTGAGAAATTTTGCTGAGAATGCTTTCCTGCCAGTAAAGCAAACCCTCTGCAGTGTGTGTCGGGGGGTGTGTGCGCATGCACCCGCACATTATATAATAAATCCTGATGCTACAGATTTAGTTGAGGATATGTATTCACTTATTGGTAATATTATTGGATGTCCAGAGACCAGGATGGGAATAGTAAAAGGAGTCTCTCTATAAGTCTAGATACAAATCTGAAGAACAGACTGGAGGAGGGGGGGGATGGGGTTAAGAAAATACTGTGATTTTTCATCCTTTTCTTGCCCTCTCATCCATTTCACACTTTTCTGAGTGTAGAGGGACCTGTAGATTTTGTAGACCTGAAGTTGGGTACTACCTAGAGCATAGACAAGAAATAGCAAAATTCACCTTTTTATCTACCAGGCCCTTTCAGCTCATACTTAGCTTGCCACAGACTGAAGGAACGTAAATAAGTTTTTATGGTCTGGGAATAAACCTAGGTGGACGTACAGTTTGCTCCAGTTATGTCTGATGCTTTCTGAACAAGCATGTTTCTTTCCCACTTAAATCGCTCCTTGCTTGAATAGTGATTTTCCTAACAGCACAGTGTCATGCAATTCTGATACAAGAGATGCTAAATCCCTTCTTATATGGTAACCTAACCATGTACATGGGAATACTTAAAACATTAGCTATAGAAGTTTTGATCTGGAGCTCTGTTATGGCTGATGATACTTAAGTGTGGGGGGATTAGAGCTGAATAGTAAAAATAATTCAAATTTTATTTGAAGAGGCTATATTGGATCTTAATCATGCTCAAGAGGTTGTGACTTTTAAAATGACTGATGTATGACTGAGATCTTAAATGTTTCCTATTCATAACTGTTTCCTTTATCTTATTCATCTTTTGGTAGTTTTAAAGCCTTTTATTTATATTTCCTTCTTCCCTCTTATGATTTCAAATTGTGGTGAAAAGCACTAAAATTCCTTCTGTTTTAAAATGAGAGTAACATTGCAATGTTATTTTGTTGGTTTTGCCTGATCAGCAACTATTTGCATTAATTGACAGAGCCAATTCATTTTCTTAAATGTCTTGCAATAAATTGCAGACTGTTAGCACAAATGGAGTTACATGATGAGCATTCAGACATTAATCCTTCAATACACAGAAGTTTGGGCTTTAATTTTAGGTGGCATTTTATGCATAGCTTGGAGACTTGTTTATTGTGTCCTTTCCTCTCCTCTGTTAATTTTAAGTTACTTGAGTTTTAGCTTCATACCGTGCAGTGTAACACTGTTCAAGATATGATGAATGTTGTCTGTAAATATGCTATGGTGTATTGCTACTTAATCTGCATTAGTATGGAAATAAGTCTTCAGTTTTAAATGTTGCATTAATAGCATTGCCCTTTCTCAGTAAGATGACCATCCGCAGCAGCATGGTTTTAAAGCAATTATTTTAAAACATACTTTATACCGACTAAAAGTGCTGCTTGCTTTCTTTAATGTTCTGAGCATTGCCTTAAGCAGTTGCTTTGTTTTCAGTTCAGTCTCTTTACATATGTTTCATCTCTTTCTTCTAGTATCATATTCAAATAATAAAAAAGAATGAAGCAGCCTGAATTCTTTCAAGCAGATACCGTGCTTCATTTCAGCAGTTTGCTTCACACGCTTAAATGCATCCCCATTCAGTGAAGCACACAGGCACATTTAAGTCCAATTTACAATAATAAAATGTAATTTATGCCTAGGACCTCTGCTAAATTGAGACTCTTCTCCCAAATTATAAGCTTTGATTTTTATTTTTTTCCTCTTGTGTGACAGCTGGAAAATGTACTGTTCTTACTGCTTTATTTCACAGCCTCAATGTATTATGTAATCCTGACTCTGAAGCTGTTACATTCTTTCTCATTTTTGTGAAATCCGATGCTATCCTTAAGAGTGACACAAAGCATTACAATGTAGATTAAGAAATGTATTTTTGTTTTTGTAGGGAAGGAGGTAGCATGGAGGGGAAACTGGTTTTGTGAGTCTTTTGTATAAATACAATACTCAGAACACTGAAATAAGTACACTGAATTCTGTTTGCTGTTGAACTTGAGTAAAGACATAGTAATTTCCTACATTCAGTTTTATAATTCCACTGTGAAATGGTATGTAAAGTCACTCAGGGCTAGAGAGCAGCAATAAATTCTCTGTTATTCCTTGACAGATCACAGAGCTGTTGGATGTTTCAATGGAGCTGGGATGCTTCTTAGCTGGAGCTCTGATCTCTTCTCAGGGTCACATGGTTACCGAGGAGATTATGTCCTGTATTGAACCAATACGTGACTTTCTTGCCATCATTTTCTTTGCATCCATAGGTAACTTCTAAGAAAACTTACTTAAAAAGTAATGGTAGCCTTCAGATGTGGGGGAGGAGAAAAAAATCATGTCTACAAACTGGGGGTGGGGGGGTGGGAGAGGAGATAGAATTTATTTTGTTAAAATAATAAGCTGTTGACTGACAACAATGTTGGTTTGCCTTTGCTAATGTTTTTAAATGAAGCATTCATTTTCATAAACAATTTCCATGTTGTACTCTCAAGTATTGCTTTATTGTCAGTTTTTCATTGTTAATTATGAATTCACGCTATTTAAAACATGTAACTAAAAATTTTAAGGGAAAATTTTTGTTTGGGGCATGGTTTGTGTTTGGCTTTTTTTTTTTTTTAATGTTCTTCTGTCTTCACAGCACTTGTATTTGTAATGTATACTAAAATTATATTACTATTTTGAGTCAATTGGTAGAGTAGATTTCAGGTTCTTGTGGCTTGGTTTTCTCTAGAAGCAGGATATGATAATGGAAACATCTTTTTTTTACAGCATCTTGTTTCTTTAGTTAGGAAAATGACATCTGTGTGTTCTCGACACAGGGGAAGAAAAAAAAATTAATTGAGCAAGATGTATCTCAAAGACTACCTGAATGCCAGCTGAAATGCAACATTGGTGCCCAAGACCAGGAGAAAAATCATCATGCTTGTTATCCAAAACAAGTTAACTATGAGAATATTTACAGTCCATTTTGAACTACCACGTTCTCTGGCTGTCCATTCATGCCCCAATACACTTTCTCTAAAGGAAACTGAAACACATTGAAGTGCTTAGGTACAGTGAATGAGGAGACAGGCCCCGTGAAAGCACTTGCCTCTCCCTGTGGATTGTATAGGAAATGCATGTCCTATTTTGGAGGTGTTGCAAGGTCTAAAATAGGGGGTTTGAATGTGGCCCGTTACACAAATCAAACCTCCTTCAACCCATGCTTATTCAGAAATTCTTAGGGTTTGTTTTTTGTTTTTCCCAAGACCAACCTTGGGTTTTCCTCTGGTTTTATTTTAAGTTTTCTATTGTTCTTTTTATCTCCATATATTTATTCAGATAATAGTGAAGTCCCATCATCAGCATAATTTTAATGCCTGTCTTTGTAGACCTGTTTGGCACCCATTGTTTCATAACAGAAACTGAAACTGTTTCTGGTGGTTGTCAAGATTGATTTTTGTTTCACCCAGTCCATGATAATAGCTTGTGCCGATCAGTTATATTGCTTAATAATAGATATGTTTATTTGAATAACTTCTTCATTAATAAATGGAATCAAGTGGTGAGCTATGGTAAAACTACTGGGCCCATAGAACTGACAGAGTTGGATGAGTGATTGCTAAGTGTGCACAAGTAAGTTGTTGATGTGTTTTAGTAAAGATGGTGATGGAGTGGATAGTGTTGTCAGGGTTACAAAGCATGACAAGTGATTATAAGCCCAAAGCTAATTGTACAAGGGACTGAACAAAAAATACTGTCCTACACTCTTGTATAGGACATCTGCATAAATTAAGGCTAGAGATTAGACTTTGGTACAGTACAAGAAAATAGCAAGACCACAGCTGGCATGCTGGCAGCACTCCATATAGCCTATGTTATGCTGTAAGGAAATTATTTTGGTAATTCTATTAGAGAATTAAAAAAAAAAAATCTTTTTAACTGTTGTTACCACTATAATTGCGAGAAGGGAAAGAAAAGAACATTGCCTAATAAGTTTGTATGGTTTTACAGAAAATGGGTGTTATTCCTGCCTCAGAAGAAAGTTACCTAAAAATCAGAAAAATGAGCTACGTTATTTATAGGCTTCTGACATAATGGGACAATGCTTGCTTGTGAAAAAACAAAACAAAACAAAACAAAACACCCTACAACAACCAAACAAAAAAACCTGGTCCCCAAAATAAACATTATTGCCCCCCTTCGCCCTCTACTTTCAATTACTTTCAAATTTTGTGGTTAACAGGAAGTTCTGTGGGGTGGCAAAGGGGTAGGTTTTAAAAAGGAGTGATGTGATGTTACAAGGAAAACCTGAGCAGGATAAAAAGTATTCCTTAAACTTTTAAAAAAAGAAATCTAGTGAGCAAAGGCTTCTTGCTTGTTCTTGACTTATATATGTACACATGCAAACAATTCGTATCTATAAATATATAGAGATTTACTATGTGAAATTATGTAAAGGCCACAGGGAAAGATTCTCCCCTGCCTAAAGAGAAAGCTTGTTGCTATATGCAGTAAGCAGTCTACTATTGAGAGCAGAAACACTTGAGATCCTGAGGTGGGATGCTAGACCACTGCAGTTATATAATTTCCATTCCCTTTAGAATAAAGGAATAAATAGAAAAAAAATACTTAATTGAAAAGCGACTGTAGGTATGACAAAAGTTAATTCCTAGTTTGCTTGTCTTAAATGCCTGATTTTCTGTTCTCACTACAGAAATCATTCTGGTTGCTAAAAGCTGAGCTAAATCGTACTTGTTTGTGTAGTATCTGGAACGGTGGGGTGGTCCTGCCCTTAGCTTGACCTGTGTGATGCTACTGCTTTCAAATTCACGCATGGGTGCATTTGTGGGAATAATACCCCTTTGCAGTTGCACTTGGTTGGACTTACTCTCCATCTGTACATTCATTTAGGCCTGTGTTTGTTCTTCAAGGTTTCTGTCTCTCTCTGCTATCTGCTGAGGTTAGAAAGTTCCTGTTAGTCTCTGTCCTCACTGATATTTTTGAGAGAGCATCTGGACCAATCCCTTAGAGCCACATCTCAAGAACTTCCTTCCTCATTTCTGTTTTGGTACCTAGTACTCTGATCCTTCGCTTTCTACCTCTGCATCATTTGATTTTGTTTTGATTGCTTTTTAGAAAGATGGAAGGCATCTTTGCATAGACTGACTTTTTTTCGAAGGCTCCACTATCCCATTTTTTGTCAGTCTACAGAGCAAATGGAGTTTGAAATTGGGCATCAGGACCCTTTCTGCCACTGGTAAGGAGGCAGATTGCTTCCACTGACTGACAAAGTTGTGTCCTCAATGTGCTGTACAGGCGTACTCACTTGCCAGGCTCCATGTTTCCCTTCTGAGTAAATCTTGTGATCAGCGTTGGACCTTGAATGCAAGATGCTGAAAACCCTTGAACAGAGTGGTTTTTGTCTTCAGAAGATGGGTGATGCTGACACTGTCAGTGTTGCTGCTGTCCAGAACAAACACGCACACAGTGTTTCTCTGATGAGCTTCTTAAGATTTCTGTTGAATTTGAGAGAAATCAAAGGAAGATCCCAAGTGGAATTTATTGGGTAACATACATCGCCTTCTCCTTCTCTGTCCAGCTCACCTGCTTTGTTGTGTCCTGCATGGAACACTGAAACTTGGAGGTTTCAAATTGGCATTAGAATCAAGAGGACTTTCCCCTTTACGAAAAGATGGAGGTGAATGTTGTTCTTCCCCTCTGCTACTTCATGATCTAGCGAGGGCTGTAGCATTTATTGCATTTGCTACTTACGATCTTAGTAGATGATTAAGACTGTGTAGATACAGCATCCCAATTGCTATCGTGATTTTTCTAAGTGGTGTCCTGTCTTGAGGATTTGTCAGAATTAATTCTCCTGGCTCAAATTTTTACCAAGAGAGTTCTGGTTTCTGTAATGTTTGCTGTCAAGGATCTCCAAGAGTCCTTTTCTTGATGCTGGATCTTCCAGGATGTGGTCATGACATTTGGATCTTCATGTCCTGTTTACCAGCCACGCAGCAGATGGGTGGAATCTGTCTAATCGAGGGGGAGAGCGAGTTTACTTGTTAAGAAAAAAGCACTTATGAAAAGAATGTGCAAAATCTTGCCTGTAATTGTCCACAGAAGAACACATACCAACTTACATGAGTGAACTGTGCTTTTTGTCTTGACACTGATGCAAGGTCACCTTCACCCCAAGGCCTCCATTCCAGCTATTCCAGAATACTGCTTAGAATTGAAATCTGGTGGTTTATGCTCAGCTCTGTAAAAATGTAACTAAGTGATATCCTAGCTATTTGTGACAGGCCAGCGTGCCACATGCTACCTGATGATGGTTCTGAAGTTCTTGAATTACCTGACTGAAGTGCTTCTTCCATTTTAGAGAAAAGTCCATAGTGACTCTTGAGCTTAGTCACAAAGTCTGATTAAAACCATTGAGATAAATGCCCATGTTCATGCACCTTCTGTCTATGAAGTTAATCTTTCTCATGACGTTTGTGTTGTCAGGAAGGCTTAATGTGCTAGTACAGCAGTTTGATATGACTTCTGGCCTTACCCTAAGTTTTCATCTAGGGCTGGGGCAAAGGTCTGTAATTACCACGAAATCCGCTACGATGGGATTTATTTCCCCCAAAACGTGTCTGTGTGCTGGGATGTTTGTTTGTTTGCTCAGAATAGTGTATGTGATGGGTTTAGGCTTGCTTCACCTTGCAGATGCTTACCTCCACGGGATTGGTAGAGAAATCTGTGGTAGTTTGTGCCTCAGCTCTTTGGAATATGGTAACCGTCTCCACATCGGGCAGCAGTTCAAACAGACTTCTGAGTGCCTGTCTGCTTCAGAACTGAAAAGGTAGCTCCACCAGTAGTGATGACAGCACTAGGCTGTATTTATAGCCTCCCTCTGAAATCTTCAATTCCAGATGTGGCAGAGTTGGCCCTCTTATCAAACATGACTTTGTTACAGACTGTATTTCTCTGTTTGCTTTTGTGTGCTTCTGAGACTGGCCTAAAGGTGAATGGGGAATGTGCACGATACACAGTAGAAAAAGAGAAGTTACTGTCCCTCCACGTGCACGTGTGCACACATTTGGATTTTGTGTGTGTGTGTGTGTGTGTGGTATTTTTTTCTCTTATTCTGCCATCTCTCCCCTTACTCTGATAGTCTTTTGCATTTGCGCTTCAGTAGTTAGAAGGAAAATGAGCACTAAAACAGGGTGTGTACATGCTGACTGGGTAGTACTTGTCTAAAAATCTCTGATGTACTTGAAGTACATTTCCATCCACAATGGAATGTGTGTACGGACAAACCATTGTGAAGTTACTGTAAGTAACTTCTCTTGCGTGCTCAGGAAGAGAAGATGACTCTTAGTTCTCTACAGTTTTTCTGGCTCTGCAGCACTATGGGGCAGGGAAAATTAGTGAAAACTGGTCTTGCGTTAAAATAAGAAGTTATACCATCAGTTTACATGTGTCGTACTTTAGAAAGCTAAACTCTTGCCCTTCACCAGAAGTAATTGGGTTGGAGAACTGCCAACTATTACGGATTTACCAGGAACACCACCACTATTTTGGTTACTTGTTTTAAGAGCTTTTATGAAAAAGGACTGAGACTTCCAAAGATACACCGTTATGTATGCCTGCATGAGTTCCTCATACCCTAGGATGGAAAAGTGGACTTAGCTGTGAGTAAGATTCTTCCTCAGTGACTCCAGGACTTCACCAACAAATACTTCTTTTAATACGTTTAATATTAGCAGGATTTAGTTTTAAACTTCTGTGCTCTTTATGGTTCTCGTTATCTTGCTTCATATAATTACAGAATTAAAATTAGAAAAAAAATTCAAAAAACAAGAAAAAAAAAGACATCTCCTGTCCCCCCCAAAAACCAACGCAACCCAACATCATAGCAATGGGGCTTTATATAATTCCTTAATTACATAAATGATATAACTATTTGTATATAATTTTATATTTATATATAATTATATAAAAAACTACCGTGTTTAGACTGGAATCAGGTGAAGTCATAAACCCCTAAGTGACTTTTCCAATTCAGGTGACTTTGAGTGTTTGCAAGTGAGGGTCATAGGATCAAAGCAGTTACATTTTCTGTTGTAGCTACAGTCTGTGCAAGTACTGAGTATCATGTTCCTCCCACAGTCATAGTCCATTACCATGTCATACAAAAATGTTAAATGGCTAGCAAAGTGTATGTTACAGTCACTGTGCAGAACAATGGAATTGTTTTCCTGCAGTATTTTTATAGCTTTCATTAGAGGTGTGTTTGAGTTCAGATTCTGGTTTGTTGACTGGTGTGGAAGGGAGAAAACTTTATAAACGAAACTGCTCATTCAACAGTTGCATACAATTTAACTCAGTTTGGGAATACTGCTTGTGCTAAACCCCTCCAAAGGAAAAATGGTTGGATAATGCAGGAAGTGCGTCAGTGATCAAGTAAGTAGTGGTGGTAGGTATGTTAGGGCTTTTTGTCTGCCTGTTTTTGAGCATACTGTCTTGCAATTAAATCTATTAATAACTCAGAAAATTATCCGAGTAAGATATTGGGCTTAAACTTTGAAATATTGTTTTCTTTCCTCCTAGGACTTCATGTTTTCCCCACGTTTGTAATATATGAACTCACAGTCTTACTATTCCTTACACTGTCTGTGGTCATAATGAAGGTATTTTCTTTTTCTCTTTTTTTTATCTTTTAATAGTCTAAACAATATTTGTGCTGCATGCCCTAATGGAAATTCTGTGCAAGAACTGAACATCTGATGTAACAGAGAATATTACTTATGTACTATAAATCTGTATTTGGAAGAATCTTACTGATTTGAAAACAGTTTGATACAACATTCTTAGGATATTAAAAAAAAAGGGATTTTATTTAATGTTAAAAGTAAGTTACACATGGAGAAACTTCTATTTGTCTAGCTTGGGATTTGTGACAAAGTTACCAAGTGTTTTTATTATAGTAAACAAGATACTACTTTTTACTGTGCAATGTACATTTGTCTCTTTTGACATTAATACAGAAGACACATTTAGAAGTCCACTAGTTTATGTCCAGAATTACTGTATTTGATGCTATGTATCTTACAAAGGTTGTATTATTTTATTTATTTCACTTCTATTTAAAACAAACAAACAAACAAAAAAAATAAACAAACAAACCCATGACAACATACAAACACCACCCCCTCCATGTTTTTAAAGTTTGTCTTGGCAGTGCTTGTCCTTTCTCTGATTCTTCCAAAGACCAGCCAGTATATCAAGTGGATTGTCTCAGCAGGACTGGCACAAGTCAGCGAATTCTCTTTTGTTCTGGGAAGCAGAGCACGCAGAGCAGGGATCATATCGCGGGAGGTAAGCTGTTCTATAGTTATTAACTTTGTTTTTTGCACCCAAACAACTCACTGAATTTTGTATTTCAGTATGTTTGAAATACCAATACACTCCAATTTTGTTGCATCTCTCAACTGTTAAGCAGAGTCAGGCCATACAAATGAAGACACATATGTCCCTGACAAGGTTCTTTGTTCCATTTTTTACTTGTTTTATATTGCACTTTAATATTTTAAATAGCAGGTTTTACTTTTAAATAGCTTAGTTATAAATGCTTTACCTTAACTGCTCTTACTTATAACTTCTTTATTAACTGAGCAGTGAGTTGTAGATAGCACCCAAGTCGCTGAGAAGGCTTTGCTTTTAAAATCTTTATATATCTATAGGAAGAGGTAAGTGAAAGTACAGGATTTGAGTAAGAAAATATCAGTAAATAAGAACTAGAAAGTAGATAGTGTGAAGTGGGAATTGCCTTCACCTTTAAACAAGTAAACAAATTTGCAGTCTTTACCTGCAAAGCTTCTTCCTTTTAAATCCTCTGCAGAAGAAACAACCAGCTTTTTCAGTAGTCATGAAAAAAATCCTCTAGGAAAGAAACCTTAAACTTAGTTTTATACTGAAGCTGTGAGAACGTTATTTTTTTTCAAGATGAAGTCTGCTTTGTGAAATTAAGTAAATAATGGCTATAGAGATACATCAGCTGACCTCACCTTCTAGTGCTAGCTGCTTTCTTCTCTGTATCTCTGCTCACAAAAATACTCTGCTGGCGCTCTGAGCTTTTCATTGTGTGACCAAGTGGGCTGTATAATGCTGGAACCAATTCCAAATAAAGCACCTCTGAAAAATTTACACAATGCTGTTCACTTCTATAGGTGAAGGCGATTCATTTTCATGTTCACTCCTGTATATAATTAGGAGTTATAAATACTGTATGTTTGTATCGAGTTTCAAGATATCTATACGTGATCACAGAACCAGTTTAGGGGCCCACCCACTGTGCTTGGAGGCCTTCAGGCTTTCATTTTTTTCTGTGGCAGCTCTCATGTGATTACCTACTGTACAGGTTTATATAGCTCTGAAATTTCCAAAAGTCATTCTTCTGTTTGAGACCTTAAAACTGTTTCCTGCTGCTGTTTTATAAGACTCATTCAGACTATGTAGTTAAGATCTTTTTTCAGAAGATGTACAGTATGACTTAAGGGGATTTTTCTTTGCTTTTTTTGGTGTATAAAGTAGTAGTGAATTTTGCCATTATATCATTAAATCATAATAGTTTGGGGTGGTTTGTTTTTTTTTTATTTCTATCTTAAATAAAGTGGTATTTGGCCTCTAAACTTTTAAGTAACATTGAGCTTTCAAAATTGACAATTATACATGTAAATAATTGTTTTTCTATAAGTTCATAATGTTATTTTTGTATCTTCAAACCAGGCAAACAGATAGTTAGATGATTTGAGTGTGCACTTACTTGCTTTTGTAGGCATGTACATATTTGGTAAAGAGGACAGGTGAAGTCTCCTGAAAATACTGTCCAGAAGAGTCTGATCTCCTCAAACTTGTAGTCACTTCTTAGTTTACCATGTAACTAAGAGAAGTAATGGGCTTTATTTGCAATTTTCAGGTCTATCTTCTTATTCTGAGTGTGACTACTCTAAGCCTTTTACTTGCCCCTGCCCTGTGGAGAGCTGCGATTATGAAATGTGTTCCGAGACCGGAAAGACGCTCAAGTACTTGATTAAGATTTGCACATATTCACACAAATACATCTTCTTGCAAGGAGTATCTTCATTGCTCATTGTATTTCTATGCACTCAGAAAAAAAAAAAAAAAAAAAAGAGGTTTTGAGTAGTCACTCTTAACGTGTGCTTGGTTATAAGCCTTATACTGATCTTAAAACAAAATTCAACATTTAAAAATAATTATATAATTTGAATTGCGCAACTTTTACAAAATTTACTTTTCTCTTGACAGATTAGAATCTGCCAGAATATTTGTTCCCGATCCAATCAATTATTCAGAGCATAGATTATTTAAAAAAAAAAATAATAGCATCACACAAACTGTGTTAATTGTTTTTTGCCTGAATGTGCCTTTTAATTTTCATCCTATTTTGTTACTGCTGGTTCATCACCAGATTTTGTTTAAAAACTAAAAAAAAAAAATGTATTATGGTGCCTATGGTATCTTTTTTCACTAAATGACTTCAGTCATTTTCACATTTAGGAGTTTAATATACTAGTATAAAATTTATCACAAACCACTTTTCTAATGGTGAGTAAAAGTGTAGTCCTCTACACCAAGAAAAGGTTTAACTGCTTAGCATCGAACTGTTGTAAGCAGTCAAATACATATTCCAAACGATGCAGCCAGTATTGTATGATATTTTATTCCAAATTGCAGCATATAATGTATTTTCATATAGTGGTAAATTTTATTTGTGCTAGTTCTTGTATTTATTTACATATTTGACTAAAAGCTGACGGTAAGAAAGGGCCTAGGTTATATTTGAAGACTGACAGTTGTCACCCATTCTTGTTGCTAACTGCTGTTACAGTAATTGTTTACAATTTGTTTTGTTTTAAATAAAAAAAGATTGAGTAAAACTGGGAAATCTAATTCCAAGCAGATGTGAAAAACATCAGCTCTGTAGCTTTGGAGGTTGGATGTTATTTGACAGTATGCTAGATTTGAAACGATTTTAAGTAAATTAATTTGCACAAAACTAGAAATGGCAGACTGGATGTGTATTTGGAACTCCATGAAGTTGTATGTTGCATTTACATTGAATAAATTGTAAGTCTCTTTAAAATACCATGGTATTTTGAAAAACAGTGTTTTGAATGTGATCTTAAATCCAAGTGTTTTGTTCTTTAAAATGTTGTATGTAGCGGGATAAGCCTTGTAAAACCCATTCTTAGGTGTCACAGAGAAAGCTTACTCATAGACAGTAGTCTACTCTGACAAACAATTTAAAATCATCTTGAGGTTTACCTGCTAAAACCAATACGATTAAAGATATATTAACACGTTAGGTCAGCATTATACTGTCATCTGAAATAACTTTGATACCCATAAAATGGTTAGAAAAATGCATGTTACGTAGGTTTAAATTGCCAATTAAAATGAAATCTGTCCTCCAAGTAGCAAAACAAAGCTTTGGATGGAGTTGTGTGCTTCATGCCTCTTTTGTCTACCACAGTGGCTTCAGTTGGCTCCTGTGTTCTCTCTGACATCTCCTGGGCTTGTCAAAATGCAGCCTGGACTAGTGTGGAGTGTGTACGCACTGTTAGGACAGGGTAGGGTTCATCGTATTTCTGTTCCTACACACTGGATTCAGGGCTTTCTCTCCAGGCACTGATGCTTCATAAAGGTTGCAGGAATGTATGGCAATTCCACCTCTCCTTGAATGGCTTCCAGAGTTATTGAGGAACAGTGACAAATGCAAAGGAAAAAGCTGCCCTATAAACAAAATTTTTTTTAAATGAATCTGTAACAGAAAAGAAACTTGAATCTGATTTGCCAGTGTATTTCATGATTTTGTATTCAAAATATAGAAGTGATTCAAAAGTTTTATGGTACCGTTTAACAATCTACTGGCTCAGACCTTTTACTCTTTTTTTTTTTTTTTTTTTTTCAGCTGCCTCTCTAAAATAATCTGTTTCCTAACTGTACTAGGGAGAGAAATCTTACTCCATCTGCCGACCTAGCTCATAGTTTCTGCTTGGAAAAACAAGCTTCTCTAATGAATGTCTCATTTTGGTTTTGAAGGATGCTTACTTCACATGTAGTTTGCCACCTAGGTTTCAAGGGGAAAAAAAAAGTACCTATGGCAGACCATGATAGAGGCCTCTGTATGGTTTCCATTATTTCTCTTAGCTAGCCCTTGAAACAGTATTACAGTTGTGATGAGTAAACCTTTTGTCTAAATAACTTGCTGTGGCTAGTTGTACTTCTCCGGAAAATTCCAGTTAGGAGAGTAGGAAATACTGATGGTTTGTGTCTCTTAAAAGAAAGAAAATATTTTCCTGATTACCTTTTAAAGGAGTTGGGTGAAGAATCCTCTTGGTACCAGGTCCAAAAAGAAAAGCAAGTATCTAGATACCCTACTGGTTGCCTCATCTCTGTCCCTTCTTTCCCAAATAATTTTTGATTCAGTCGTGACTTGGCTAGGCTTTAGGAGAACTGGTGAAAGAGAAATAGGAGCCTCATCTGAGTATCAATGTTCTGTGGCTCTTTGTTGACATAGACTTGGATTGCCTGATTGAATATTAGATGTAAGTTCAAATTACTAATCTTACTGGACATATGATAAGTTTGTTTACAATCTGATGTTTGAGATTGTCCCATAGAAATCTGGAGGTATATTGAGATACTGTAAATGTTTCCTGAAAGGCAAAAAATGGCTCCATGCATAATTCCATGTCAAAATGGGGTGGTCTCACGATGCAATCTTAGAATGGAAACAACAGACCTTATTCCTGAATGATCAGTCATGCCTGTATGGAAAATGGGGAGAATATTTCACACTTGGCCCACTTAAACATAATTGCAGCTTTTTGGGAACCTAATGCTCGTACTCTGGAATACTCTCTTGCTGTGTCAAGTAGATAAAATTAAAGCAGAGATCCGGAAGCCCTGAAAGGAAAATCTACTGATTTGTTGAAGGTTTGTTGAAAAACAGGTGATCTTTTCTGGAAATTTTTGTTTCAGCTGGTTGGACAGTGGCTCTACCTCATTCATTTATCTAATGATCAGCATCATTTGAACACAGAAAAGCTGATACAGGGCAGAAACTTCATAAATGATGAGAGGCTGTTTCTGTGGTAAAGCTGAGCTTAAGGGAGCAGAAAGGAAGGGTCTGCTCTATGCTTGAGTAAGCAGCTCATTCAGCATACCTGTTGTGGGGTTGAATTTT